TCCAAAGCTATACAATATTAGAACAAGTTAATTATCTCACATTTCTGAAAATATCTGTAATGTTGTACTTGTTGACGAAATTCATGGTAATGTTGGGTTTTTGAGCTAGCGCCCAATTGACGCCCATACACTCCTTGAAGAAGAGCTCTCCTTGTCCGATTCGCACAGAATGCACTGCACGGTCCATTGACGATGCATGGGAAACGTGCACAATGAGTGTTAGTACGATTCCAATGAAGTTTCCCATCTCCACAAAAGTATCTCTGAACAACCTCTCCTTGCGAGGTTGCCATGGTGTTTCTTTACATGACCTTTGACTGTTGTAAAGCACTGTAGTGAATCTAATTTAATTGACTTTTGTCTGAAATGTGCTATAGAAATAAGGCTTGATTTGAAAGTGGTGACATTATGAACTGCATGTTACAGGATTTCGCTGCATAGTTTGATCTTGTGAAAAGTGCAATTTCAGATTTACTTTGAGAAAGTTCAATTCATTCAGCCCTTGTTTAGTACAAACACTTCTGCATTCTTATCCACTGCCATGGCTAGATGGCCAAATCTTTAAGTTGGACCTAAAGGTAAACCTAACAAGTGTTTTGTATTTACTTTCATATTTATAGAGGGTGTAGTTGTTTTTAGGTGGTTATGTAAACTACATATACCGTTCTTAAATAATAATTGTAATATTTAGTTAAGAAATCATCATTTAGAGTGTCTGTTTAATTCTTTGGAACAAAATTTGTTGTGAAAAAGTATTAATCATTCCACCTCTAAAAAAAGAAAAAAAAAACATACTGTGCATTCGGAAATTATTCAGACCCCTTCGCTTTTTCCACATTTTGTTACATTACAGCCTTATTCTAAAATTGATTCAATGTTTTCCTCATCAATCTACACACAATACCCAATAATGACAAAGTGAAAACAGGTTTTTTAGAAATGTTTGCAAAAAACAAATACCTTATTTACATAAGTATTCAGACCCTTTGCTATGAGACTCGAAATTGAGCTCCGGTGCATCCTGTTTCCATTGATCATCCTTGATGTTTCTACAACTTGATTGGAGTCCACCTGTGGTAAATTCAATTGATTGGTTATGATTTGGAAAGGCACACACCTGTCTATATAAGGTCCCACAGTTGACAGTGCATGTCAGAGCGAAAACCAAGCCATGAGGTCAAAGGAATTGTCCGTGGAGCGCCGAGACAGGATTGTGTCGAGGCACAGATCTGGGAAAGGGTACCAAAAATGTTTTGCAGCATTGGAACCACCGTGTTCTTGGGGACCTTCAATCTTCTTCCATTTAAGAATGAGGAAGACCACTAAGACTCTTCCTAGAGCTGGCCGCCTGGCCAAACTGCGCAATCGGGCGAGAATTGCCTTGGTCAGGGAGGTGACCAAGAACCCGATGGTCACTCTGACAGAGCTCCAGATTTCCTCTGTGGAGATGGTTGTCCTTCTGGAAGGTTCTCCGATCTCTGCAGTACTCTACCCATCAGGCCTTTATGGGAGAGTGGCCAGACAGAAGCCACTCCTCAATAAAAGGCACTTGACAGCCTGCTTGGAGTTTGCCAAAAGGCACCTAAAGGACTCTCAGACCATGAGAAACAAGATTCTCTGGTCTGATGAAACCAAGATTGAACTCTTTGGCCTGAATGCCAAGCATCACATCTGGAGGAAACCTGGCACCATCCCTACGGTGAAGCATGATGGTGGCAGCATCATGCTGTGGGGATGTTTTTCAGTGGCAGGGACTGGGAGACTAGTCAGAATTGAGGGAAAGATGAACGAAGCAGAGTACAGAGATCCTTGATGAAAACCTGCTCCAGAACGCTCAGGACCTCAGACTTGGGCGACGGTTCAACTTCCAACAGGATAACGACCCTAAGCACACAGCCAAGACATCGCAGGAGTGGCTTAAGGACAAGTCTCTGAATGTCCTTGAGTGGCCCATCCAGAGCCTGGACTTGAACCCAATCGAACATCTCTGGAGAGACCTGAAAATAGCTGTGCAGCGATGCTCCCCATCCAACCTAACAGAGCTTGAGAAGAATGGGAGAATCTCTCCAAATACAGGTGTGCCAAGCTTGTTGTGTCATTCCCAAGAATACTCTAAGCTGTAATCGCTGCTAAAGGTGCTTCAACAAAGTACTGAGTAAAGGGTTTGAGTACTTATGGGTCAATGACGTGACGTGCATATTTTGGTTTCTGAATGAAATATTTTCAAAAATCGACAACCAATTTTATACACATTTCATGTTATGTAACTATGCCCTTTTTTATTGAGGCCTAAAAGAGTTAATGGTTAAATGTGGGAGAGAACACTTTTGGTGCTCTAAAGTTTTATAAAAAGTCAGACTGTCCGAAGACAAATGCTATATATATATATATATATATATATATATATTAATTAAACATCTCCAATCACTACAAAACTGTCAAACAATTATCCTGGCATGATTTTATTCCGGTTACACCATGTGACTAAACGGTGGTACTGAATGATGTCAATCTGTTTCTTTGTATTAAGTTATCTATAATATGTATTTGTGTGTACAAAAAAATGTCTCCTTTTTAAGTGAAAACGCATGTTTTTGTAGGGTAAGGGTGTTTTTATGTCAGTTTGTTTTGAGGTAGTGTACATGAAGCGGCTAATACTGAAAATACGTTTACGTATATAGATAGGATAGTTATCTTAATTGAGGGTCAATTTGCAAACGCCTTTATCGTCAGGACACAGATTACTGCTGACTCAGTTGCAAATTTGCCACAGAAATCCAGGGGTTCTACTTTGGGGGGAGTAGACAGCCGGCTACGATCCATACAAGTGTTGTGTACACATCAGAGGGAAGCCAGTCCTACGCCACAATATCTGACTTCATTAGATACAGTGGGGAGAACAAGTATTTGATACACTGCCGATTTTGCAGGTTTTCCTACTTACAAAGCATGTATAGGTCTAATTTTTATCCTAGGTACACTTCAACGGTGAGAGACGGAATCTACAACAAAAATCCAGAAAATCACATTGTATGATTTTTAAGTAATTAATTAGCATTTTATTGCATGACATAAGTATTTGATCACCTACCAACCAGTGAGAATTCCGGCTCTCACAGACCTCTTAGTTTTTCTTTAAGAAGCCCTCCTGTTCTCCACTCATTACCTGTATTAACTGCACCTGTTTGAACTCGTTACCTGTATAAAAGACACCTGTCCACACACTCAATCAAACAGACTCCAACCTCTCCACAATGGCCAAGACCAGAGCGCTGTGTAAGGACATCAGGGATAAAATTGTAGACCTGCACAAGGCTGGGATGGGCTACAGGACAATAGGCAAGCAGCTTGGTGAGAAGGCAACAACTGTTGCCGCAATTATTAGAAAATGGAAGAAGTTCAAGATGACGGTCAATCACCCTCGGTCTGGGGCTCCATGCAAGATCTCACCTCGTGGGGCATCAATGATCATGAGGAAGGTGAGGGATCAGCCCAGAACTACAGGGCAGGACCTGGTCAATGACCTGAAGAGAACTGGGACCATAGTCTCAAAGAAAACCATTAGTAACACATTACGCCGTCATGGATTAAAATCCTGCAGCGCACGCAAGGTCCCCCTGCTCAAGCCAGCGCATGTCCAGGCCCGTCTGAAGTTTGCCAATGACCATCTGGATGATGCAGTGGAGGAATGGGAGAAGGTCATGTGGTCTGATGAGACAAAAATAGAGCTTTTTGGTCTAAACTCCACTCGCCGTGTTTGGAGGAAGAAGGATGAGTACAACCCCCAAGAACACCATCCCAACCGTGAAGCATGGAGGTGGAAACATCATTCTTTGGGGATGCTTTTCTGCAAAGGGGACAGGACGACTGCACCGTATTGAGGGGAGGATGGATGGGGCTATGTATCGCGAGATCTTGGCCAACAACCTCCTTCCCTCAGTAAGAGCATTGAAGATGTGTCGTGGCTGGGTCTTCCAGCATGACAACGACCCGAAACACAAAGCCAGGGCAACTAAGGAGTGGCTCAGTAAGAAGCATCTCAAGGTCCTGGAGTGGCCTAGCCAGTCTCCAGACCTGAACCCAATAGAAAATCTTTGGAGGGAGCTGAAAGTCCGTATTGCCCAGCGACAGCCCCGAAACCTGAAGGATCTGGAGAAGGTCTGTATGGGAGGAGTGGGCCAAAATCCCTGCTGCAGTGTGTGCAAACCTGGTCAAGACCTACAGGAAACGTATGATCTCTGTAATTGCAAACACAGGTTTCTGTACCAAATATTAAGTTCTGCTTTTCTGATGTATCAAATACTTATGTCATGCAATAAAATGCAAATTAATTACTTAAAAATCATACAATGTGATTTTCTGGATTTTTGTTTTAAATTCCGTCTCTCACAGTTGAAGTGTACCTATGATCAAAATTACAGACCTCTACATGCTTTGTAAGTAGGAAAACCTGCAAAATCGGCAGTGTATCAAATACTTGTTCTCCCTACTGTATGATGAGAGAGCAGTATGGGCTCACTTGGAGCCTGTCCTAAGATGTCAAGAACAAGAATCCACAAATCATGACACTCCACATGATGAGCGACGGTCCTGGCACCCAATAAAGAAACAAGAAGAACATGTACATACTCTGCCGTATATTTACGCGTTCAAATAAATCACCTGGAACTTTTCTGAAAAGGCCCACGGGAAGGGAGCACCAGATGGCGTGGGTGGGGCTGTGGAAAGTTGTGCAGACAAACACATTCAACGGGGGGATGATGTGAAGACTCACAAGGAGCGCTTCGAACTACTCGAAGAGTGGATTGAGCATCAAGTTCTTTTGGATTACAGATGGCACTAAGTACGATGAAGCGGTGCCAAACAACCTCGCTGGAGTAAAACAAACCATGAAATTGCACCAGGTCACCTCCCACAGTGGCAGGGAAAATAAGTGTCTTGCTTCTGCAGCAGACCAAACATCTGCAACACCTGTTTCAGTGCTGTGGAAGTGAACGTCAATGAAGAACCCCATCACTGAGGAAGAGCAAGATGAAGCTGCAGCTGTGGCCAAGTCAACACTTGCTGAAAGTCTAGGCAGTTTGGTCATTGTCAGCTACGAAGACTGCCCCTTTGTAGGCCAGGGGCTGACGGTGATTGGGAAGAAAGTGCAGGTTACTTATATGCAGCAGCATGGAGTGTGGAATGTTTTTGTCTGGCCCTCTGTGCCAGACATGACCTATTATACTATGAAGGAGATGTGAAGTCAATGATCAATGAGGCCGAGACCTTCAGTTCAAGAGCATCTAGGCAGTCCGATACAGACTGGCCTGCTTTCTGGTCACACTAGTGAAACGACATCAAACACACCGTTTTAAGAACTTTTATTGTCCTTTAATGAGTTTGTTACAACTTTTGCTACAAAGTGATAATTTCTTTGTCTTAATGTTTGAATCTCATGAATTTAAACGTTTTATTTTAATCTTGCAATGTTCTGAATCCTGTTTTTAGAAGTTCATGATCAAATGTTTCAGCGTAATAATTTGAGTCCCATTATTTTGTATTTTATTAAGCATTAAAGGCATCGTTGTTGACTAAGAAACCATGTTTACTCTTAATGTGTGTTTTGAGTTATCTGCCTAAAATGACACCATAACAAAATAGTTATGCTGTGCGACCAGCAATTATAATTTGTTACAACCAGTGTTTTTTTTTTTTTTTTTTTAATGTAAAACAATTAAATTATGTTATTGTCTCATGCAGCGAGAAGCTCAGTCTATAAGAGAAAAGCAATTATGTAATCTGGCTTCCATTTATTTAACAGAAGTTGTAGTTGACAGTCATTCAAAATGAGGGGTCGTCCAGTGAAAAAACAAAGATTTATTATACTGGAACTTAACTTCTTTAATGTTGAATATTTTAGACCGTGTGTGTGTGTGTGTGTGTGTGTGTGTGTATTAATATTTTACTCTTTGCTTGAAGTAATGGTCCGAAAACATTTGTTTTATTCATGGTTCGACCGAATGACTTTTTTTTAGGTCAATTTAACAATCGCATAAATACTTATCAACAATTTTTTTGCGACAAACCCTGACCGTGCATAGGTAACACTCAAGGGAACATATAAAGTGTTTAAAATGTAATCGTTTTCCCATTTCTAATTTTTTCCTTTTTTAAAACCTTGTACGTCATTGACCCTTTATGTAAATGTTATATTTCAGTGTTCTATTTTGAATAAATGTGCTTTGTCGTTATGGGGTATTGCGTGTAGATTGAGGAGAAAACGCTATTTAATCTATTTTAGAATAAGGCTGCAACATAACAGTGGAAAAAGTAAAGGGGTCTGAATACTTTCCGAATGCACTGTAAATCGGTAATCGGTGACTTTTGCCTCCCTAAAAGCAGTATCGGACCCAAACATCCCATATTGGTTCGGCTCTAGTGTTTTTCATTCAGTTAAGTGTTTGGGATCTTTCCTACAGGCAGCCGTGTGAAATCCTGGATGTACAGTCTCCCCACCATTCCAACGGGCCGGTCAACGGGCACGCCAAACTTCAGATGGACGGGGACTCCATAGTCATCAGTGACAGTGACGAGGACACCTCCAAAACCCCCAAATCAAAGGCCAATGGGTCAGTCCGTAAGATATGCAATTCAAGGTTGCATCTGAAATGTCACCCTATTCCCTATATAGTGCACTACTTTTGACCAGAGACCCACGACCCTGGTCAAAAGTAGTGCACTATGTAGGGACTAGGGTGCCATTGCGAATGCACACAGTCTTTATCCATGTTGGCTTTGATTAAAAACCTTTTGGCTCTTCTCCCCTTATGTCTAAAGGAAGAAGAAGAAATCTGTCAACCCATCTGTGTTTAAGTACAAAGTGCGGCCCATCAAGGAAGGCAGTGAACCCATATTCACCAAGGCTGGTCAGATGAGGTGAGTCGTGAGACTAACCTACGTCCACTGACTGACCGACCATGTACAGTTACTATTGTGGTACATTTCACAATACATTTGCCTTCCTGCTAAGCAGTTTTATATTGTTATTCGACAGTTAATCCCCTCTGACTTTTTAAATATAACAACCTAAGCGTTATAACATCTCTCTTTCTGGCACTTATTTTAGCCGTAAGAAGAACACGTTTTCACGGGACAGATTAAAGCTGCTGCTCAAACAGCACTGTGAACCACAGAATGGAGTCATCATGCTCAAGGTATTATGATTTAACGCTAGAGTTTTAATGCAATGTCAGTTTGTGTGTTTCTTTTTAAGCAAAAACCCTTTAAAATGTAGAAAACAGGATTGTCTTGTGTTACGTTCATTTGAATCCAGGAACTGTCATTTTGCTCTAGTGTTGCTAACTGTTTCTTGTTTGTTGTGTTTCATGCTTAGGCATCAACTGTTGCTAAGTACAAGATGGCAGAACAGCACTTCTCCCAGTTCTTCCCTGACGAGCCCCCTGTGTTTGTCTTTAGTCCCACTCCTAAAGGGCGGGGCAAGCCCAAGAATGATTATTCTCCTGGAGAGGTGAGGATTGGCAATGTCTTCATTCCAAATGGCCCTATGAGCGGGCCTTGGTCAAAAGTTGTGCACTATATAGGGAATAGGGTGCCATTTGGGACACATCCCATATGTAGACCCTTTGTCAAGCATTCCTCAGTGAAGATATTATAACAATTGTATTACATTGTAATAATAACTTATTATTGTTGGACTTCCATCATGGTTTTGTCCAGTGGACTTGTTAGTAAAGACCTCTATGAAATGTAAAGCATCTCAAGACTCAATTGCATTTTCATAATTTTCTTTAGTTGGGGCACAACTTATTGAAAGCAGCAGAGGAGAAGCTTCGTCTGATGCAGCAGAAAGAGGAGATGATAGCTACGGGTGAGACCAGTAGTTTATAGTTGGATTCTAGTAGATAATAGTTAGCATGTACAGTTGAAGTCAGAAGTTTACGTACACCTTAGCCAAATACATTTAAACTCAGTTTTTCACAATTCCTGACATTTAATTAATCCTAGTAAAAATTCCCTGTCTTAGGTCAGTTAGGATCACCACTTTATTTTAAGAATGTGAAATGTCAGAATAATAGTAGAGAGAATGATTTACTTCAGCTTTTATTTCTTTCATCATATTCCCAATGGGTCAGAAGTTTACATACTCAATTAGTATTTGGTAGCGTTGCCTTTAAATTGTTTAACTTGGGTCAAACGTTTCGGGTAGCCTTCCACAAGCGTCCCACAATAAGTTGGGTGAATTTTCGCCCATTCCTCCTGACAGAGCTGGTGTAACTGAGTCAGGTTTGTAGGCCTCCTTGCTCGCACACGCTTTTTCAGTTCTGCCCACACATTTTCTATAGGATTGAGGTCAGAGCTTTGTGATGGCCACGCCAATACCTTGACTTTGTTGTCCTTAAGCCATTTTGCCACAACTTTGGAAGTATGCTTGGGGTGATTGTCCATTTGGAAGACCCATTTGCGACCAAGCTTTAACGTCCTGACTGATGTCCTGAGATGTTGCATCAATATATCCACATAATTTTCCTTTCCTCATGATGACATCTATTTTGGGAAGTGCACCAGTCCCTCCTGCAGCAAAGCACCCCCACAGCATGATGCTGCCACCCCTGTGCTTCACGGTTGGGATGGTGTTCTTTGGCTTGCAAGCCTTTCCCTTTTTCCTCCAAACATAACAATGGTCATTATGGCCAAATAGTTCTATTTTTGTTTCATCAGACCAGAGGACATTTCTCCAAAAAGTACGATCTCTGTCCAAATGTGCAGTTGCAAACCGTAGTCTGGCTTTTTATGGCGGTATTGGAGCAGTGGCTTCTTCTTTGCTGAGCAGCCTTTCAGGTTATGTCGCTATAGGACTCGTTTTACTGTGGATATAGATACTTTGTACCTGTTTCCTCCAGCATCTTCACAAGGTCCTTTGCTGTTCTGGGATTGATTTGCACTTTTCGCACCAAAGTACGTTCATCTCTAGGAGACAGAACGCGTCTCCTTCCTGAGCGGTATGACGGCTACGTGGTCCCATGGTGTTTATACTTGCGTACTATTGTTTGTACAGATGAACGTTGTACCTTCAGGTGTTTGGAAATTGCTCCCAAGGATGAACCAGACTTGTGGAGGTCCTCCTTCTTTCCACTCCTCTCCTCTTTTGACCTCACCCTCTCACCGTCCCCCCCTACTCACAAGGCAGGCAATACGCTTGACCTCATCTTCACTAGATGCTGCTCCTCTACTAATCTCACTGCAACTCCCCTCCAAGTCTCCGACCACTACTTTGTTTCCTTTTCTCTCTCGCTCTCCTCCCACACTACTCACTCTGCCCCTACACAGATGGTAATGCGCCGCCGCAACCTTCGCTCTCTCTCTCCCACTACTCTCTCCTCTTCCATCCTATCATCTCTTCCCTCTGCTCAATCCTTCTCCCTCCAATCTCCTGATTCTGCCTCCTCAACCCTCCTCTCCTCCCTTTCTGCATCCTTTGACTCTCTGTGTCCCCTATCCTCCCGGCCGGCTCGGTCCTCCCCCCCAGCTCCGTGGCTTGATGACTCACTGCGAGCTCACAGAACAGAGCTCCGGGCAGCGGAGAGGAAATGGAAGAAAACTAAACTCCCTACCGACCTGGCATCTTTTCACTCCCTCCTCTCTACATTTTCTTCATCTGTTTCTGCTGCTAAGGCCACCTTCTACCACTCTAAATTCCAAGCATCTGCCTCTAACCCTAGGAAGCTCTTTGCCACATTTTCCTCCCCTCCTGAATCCTCCTCCCCCCCCCCCCCCCCCCTCCTCTCTCTCTGTGGATGACTTCGTCAACCACTTTGAAAAGAAGGTTGACGACATCCGATCCTCGTTTGTTAAGTCTAATAACACTGCTGGTCCTGCTCACACTGCCCTACCCTATGCTTTGACTTCTTTCTCCCCTCTCTCTCCAGATAAAATCCTGCGACTTGTGACTGCAGGCCGCCCAACAACCTGCCCGCTTGACCCCATCCCCTCCTCCCTTCTCCAGACCATCTCCGGTGACCTTCTCCCCTACCTCACCTCGCTGATCAACTCATCCTTGACCGCTGGCCATGTCCCTTCCGTCTTCAAGAGAGCGAGAGTTGCTCCCCTCCTCAAAAAACCAACACTCGACCCCACTGATGTCAACAACTACAGACCAGTATCCCTTCTTTCTTTTCTTTCCAAAACTATTGAGCGTGCCGTCTTTAGCCAACTCTCTTGCTATCTCTCTCAGAATGACCTTCTTGATCCAAACCAATCAGGTTTCAGGACTGGTCATTCAACTGAGACTGCTCTTCTCTGTGTCACGGAGACTCTCCGCACTGCTAAAGCTAACTCTCTCTCCTCTGCTCTTGTCCTTCTAGACCTGTCTGCTGCCTTTGATACTGTGAACCATCAGATCCTCCTCTCCACCCTCTCCGAGATGGGCATCTCCGGCGCGGCTCACTCCTGGATTGCGTCCTACCTGACCGGTCGCTCCTACCAAGTGGCGTGGCGGGAAGCTGTCTCCGCACCACGTGCTCTCACCACTGGTGTCCCCCAGGGATCGGTTCTGGGCCCTCTCCTTTTCTCCCTATACACCAAGTCACTTGGCTCTGTCATATCCTCACATGGTCTCTCCTATCATTGCTACGCTGACGATACACAACTAATCTTCTCCTTTCCCCCTTCTGATAACCAGGTGGCGAATCGCATCTCTGCATGTCTGGCAGACATATCAGTATGGATGACGGATCACCACCTCAAGCTGAACCCTGGCAAGACGGAGCTGCTCTTCCTCCCGGGGAAGGACTGCCCGTTCCATGATCTCGCCATCACGGTTGACAACTCCGCTGTGTCCTCCTCCCAGAGTGCGAAGAGCCTAGGCGTGACCCTGGACAACACCCTGTCGTTCTCCGCCAACATCAAGGCGGTGACCCGCTCCTGCAGGTTCATGCTCTACAACATTCGGAGAGTGCGACCCTGCCTTACACAGGAAGCGGCGCAGGTCCTGGTCCAGGCACTTGTCATCTCCCGTCTGGACTACTGCAACTCGCTGTTGGCTGGGCTCCCTGCCTGTGCCATTAAACCCCTACAACTCATCCAGAATGCCGCAGCCCGTCTGGTGTTCAACCTTCCCAAGTTCTCTCACGTCACCCCCCTCCTCCGCACACTCCACTGGCTTCCAGTTGAAGCTCGCATCCGCTACAAGACCATGGTGCTTGCCTATGGAGCAGTGAGGGGAACGGCACCTCTGTACCTTCAGGCTCTGATCAGTCCCTACACCCAAACGAGGACATTGCGTTCATCCACCTCTGGCCTGCTGGCTCCCCTTCCTCTGCGGAAGCACAGCTCCCGCTCAGCCCAGTCAAAACTGTTCGCTGCTCTGGCACCCCAATGGTGGAACAAGCTTCCTCACGACGCCAGGACAGCGGAGTCACTCACCACCTTCCGGAGACATTTGAAACCCCACCTCTTTAAGGAATACCTGGGATAGGATAAAGTATTCCTTCTAACCCCCCCCCCCCCCCAAATTGTAAAGTGGTTATCCCACTGGCTATAGGGTGAACGCACCAATTTGTGAGTCGCTCTGGCTAAGAGCGTCTGCTAAATGACGTTAATGTGCCCTTGAGCAAGGCACTTAACCCTAATTGCTCCTGTAAGTCGCAACAATTTTGTTTTCTGAGGTCTTGGCTGATTTCTTTTGATTTGTCCCATGATGTCAAGCAAAGAGGCACTGAGTTTGAAGGTAGGCCTTGAAATACATCCACAGGTAAACCTCCAATTGACTCAAATGATGTCAATTAGCCTATCAGAAGCTTCTAAAGCCATGACATAATTTTCTGGAATTTTCCAAGCTTAGTGTATGTAAACTTCTGACCCACTGGAATTGTGATACAGTGAATTATAAGTGAAATAATCTGTCTGTAAACAATTGTTGGAAAAATCACTTGTGTCATGCACAAAGTAGATGTCCTAACCGACTTGCCAAAACTATAGTTTGTTAACAAGGAATTTGTGGAGTGGTTGAAAAACGAGTTTTAATGACTCCAACCTAAGTGTATGTAAACTTCCGACTTCAACTGTAAGTTAAAAAACTGGTGCACTGTTGTCATGTAAGTGTTAATGAGACCGTCCCAAGATATGTATGAATGATCCATAAATTTGGCTGCCATATACAGTACCAGTCAAAAGTTTGGAGACACCTACTCATTCAAGGGTGTTTCTTTTATTTTTACTATTTTCTATATTGTAGAATAATAGTGACGACGTCAACTATGAAATAACACATATAGAATAATTGAGTAACCAAAAAAAGTGTTAGCCTAAACAAATCAAAATATATACCCTTTGCCTTTATGGCAGCTTTGCACACTCTTGGCATTTTCTTAACTAGCTTCATGAGGAATGCTTTTCCCCTTGAAGGAGTTCCCACATGCTGAGCATTTGTTGGCTGCTTTTCCTTCACTCTGCAGTCCAACTCATCCCAAACCATCTCAATTGGGTTGAGGTCGGGTGATTGTGGAGGCCAGGTCATCTGATGCAGCACCCCATCACTCTCCTTCTTGGTAAAATAGCCCTTACACAGCCTGGAAGTGTATTGGGTCATTGTCCTGTTGAAAAACAAATTATAGTCCCACTAAGCGCAAACCAGATGGGATGGCATATCGCTGCAGAATGCTGTGGTAGCCATGCTGGTTATGTGTGCCTTGAATTCTAAATAAATCACTGACCGTGTCACCAGCAAAGCACCATCACACCTCCTCCATGCTTCACGGTGGGAATCACACATGTGGAGAGCATCCGTTCACCTACGCTGCGTCTCACAAAGACACGGCGGTAGGAACCAAAAATCTCCAATTTGGACTCCAGACCAAAGGACACATTTCCACCGGTCTAATGTCCATTGCTCGTTTTTCTTGGCCCAAGCAGGTCTCTTCTTCTTATTGGTGTCCTTTAGTAGTGGTTTCTTTGCAGCAATTCAACCATGAAGGCCTGATTCACGACAGTCCCCTCTGAACAGTTGATGTTGAGATGCATCTGTGACTTGAACTCTGTGAAGCATTTATTTGGGCTGCAATTTCTGAGGCTGGTAACTCTAATGAACTTATCCTCTGCAGCAGATGTTACTCTGGGTCTTCCTTTCCGGTGGTGGTCCTCATGAGAGCCAGTTTCATCATAGTGCTTGATGGTTCTATATCGTGGAGCTCCGCCCCATAGGGGAGCTCTGCTCCTATTGGTTTACCCCGCTGCCTAGGCAGCGAACATCCTGAGACAAAATTATGCACACACCTGCAGCCAATAGGAGTACAGGTGTCCCTATAAGAGGGGACGCTTCCCCTCAATCAGCCTCCCATTATCTTCAGCGACTGGACTGGACTGAAGAAGACGAAGACTCAGGACGAAGATATCGCCGTTGATTTTCCAGATCATCGACGTCGTCCGTCGGTGCGTAGTTGAGGTGCGTAGTTGAGCACACACATGAGGCTGGTATTAAAAAGGTATCAAGGCGCCGCCTTGTTTTACCTCAAAGACCTCACACTACAGACTTCTAGGAGTACTGTAGTGAGGGTCTCATAAAGCAGATTGCAGTCACAGCCAGGTAATGGAGTGATGACGCAATTGCTATTCGGGTACAGCGCTCTGTCTCAGGATAGCAGTTCAGACCCGCGCTGTGTACACGGAGGGCCGGGGTTACGAGTGCAACCAACGTATCGGCGCCCCCGTTTCTCTCAGAACGTGCTAATGTTTCCTCTCCCTTTCTTGGGGGGCCTGCCTTGGGCTGTTCCACCACTTCAGTGTTGGAGAACAGTGGCGGCGAGGGCCGTCGAGGAATACAGGTCCTTCCTACTGAATGCACCACAGCTTCGCACTCTTCCGATTTCTCAGCATTATTTTGAGTGGGGGCAAAGCTGTACCGTCTCTCTCTGGCTAGACCGGATGCTGGAGAAGGGTTATGCCATCCAATTTCATCGTCATGGAGACGGTGATGAAAACGCCCAAAAAAGTTGCCGCTCTCGTTGCAGAGATTACGGAACTTTTGGCGAAGGAGGCTGTCACAGTAGTTCCCTGAGAGCAAAGGAACAGAGGGCTATATTCGCCCTACTTCCTGGTGCCCAAAAAAACGGGGGGAATGAGGCCAATATTGGATTTACGTATTCTCAACGAGCGTGGAGCCAAACTGCCCTTCCGAATGCTAACGACAAAACGTCTACTGGAGTGTTCCAGAGGGGAGACTTTTGTACGAGCATAGACCTAAAGGACGCGTACTTTCATGTGCCGGTACAGCCGCGTCACAGGAAGTTTCTGCGTTTCGCCTTTCAAGGGGTGGCGTACGAGTTCGCAAGGATGCCATTCGGGTACGCCTTGGCACCTCGCACATTTTCCAAATGTGTGGAGGCGGCAATAGAACAGTTGCGTGGTCAGGGAATAAGGCTACTAGCCTACCTAGACGACTTACTGGTTCTCGCCCCATCAGCAGAGCTGGCGATCACACACACAACACAGACAGTGATTCATCTCACGCGTCTGGGGTTCGCTGTGAATTGGAAAAAGAGCTCGGCCTGGCCCAGTCATCAGATTGTCTATCTGGAAATACAGAGACACTAACGATGAGGGCTCAAATTTTGGATCCTCGAAGGGTTGCCCTGTTGCTAGCCCTATGAAGGTTTCGTCCGACTCACACGGTAACGGCGCTTTCGGTCACTCTTGGGTCTCATGTCGTCGGCCCATTTCGTGTTCCCGCTGGTACTCTTGCACATGCGCAGAATACAGCGATGGTTCGTCCAATTACGACTAGACCCAGTGCGTGAACGTCGTCAAGTTGGTGGTGGCTCCTCTCTCGCTCAGAGCAGATCTGAACTATTGGAGAGACCTGCGCGTTCTCACGCACCTAGTCCTGATAGGCAAAGTGTCCTCCTACAGTCCAGTGTTTACAGATGCCTCTGACTGGATGGGGAGGGACGTCAGACCCAAGCGATAGGAGGTGTGTGGCCTCTTTCGAGTCGTCACATCAACCTCTTAGTTGGAAACGGTTCTACTGGTTCTGACCCACTTTGCGTCTACCCTTCGGGGTCGCGATGTGCTGGTCTGGTCAGACAACCAAACCACAGTAGCCCACATCAATCACCAGGGAGGAGTCAGGTCTCCTGCACTCCACCGGGCGGCGGAGGAATTGTTGCTGTGGGCTCATGAGCACCTTCGCTCGTTGAGAGCAGCACACATTCCAGGCTACTTGAACGTAGGGGCAGACCTCATGTCCAGAGGGGGTCCTCGGGACAACGAGTGGCGTCTGCACCCGGACATTGTTCTCCAAATTTGGGAACGGTTCGGGAGAACCGAGGTGGATCTGTTCGCGTCACACGTGAACGCGCATTGCCCTCTCTTGTTCTCTCTACGAGCTCAGGACGAACTGCCACTGGGGAGGGACGCATTTGCGCACCGACCGTGGCCGAGGGTTCTCCTGTATGCATTTCCACCGCTGTCCTGCATTCTGTCACTGTTAGCCAGGGTTAGATCAGGCGGCCTGTCAATCATATTGGTGGCTCCCGATCGCCCAGGGGCTCCATGGTTCGCGGAGATGATTCAGATGTTGATTGCGCCACCATGGCCAATTCCACATTGACGGGACGCGCTGTCTCAGGCGGGAGGCGCGATAGGGCAGTTGCCCATAATAGGCCAACCACTGATGGTTTGGCTACTGAGAGGGACAGGCTAGAGCGCCGTGGGTTATCTGATTCAGTAATCAGAACCATACAGGGTTCACATGCCGGTTCCACTTCCAGGGTTTATGCCAGTAAATGGAACGGGTTTACACAGTGGTGTGTCACAGAGAATGTGGACCCTTTGTGCTGTCAGGTTGAGTGTTCTCTCGTTCCTACAGTTTTTTTGATAAGCAGCGATTGCCCGCCACCATTAAGGTGTTTTGCAGTGGCGATTTCAGCTTGTCATGAGGGGTTTGGCAGAGACACTCTCTTCAGCCACCCTCTAGTGAAATGTTTCCTATTAGGAACGCGGCGGCTTAGCCAATGCCTAGAGCCACGCTTCCTCAGTGGGATTTGGTTTTGGTACTCGAAGCGCTTTGTGAGGCGCCGTTCGAACCATTGAATCAAATTCCCCTCAGAATGCTGTCTGTGAAGACAGCACTGTTGCTCGCTTTGACTACTGCTAAGCGTGTCAGTGATTTGTGTGCTCTTTCAACAAGACCCGACTGCCTTGCCATTTAATGGCGACTTGAGCAGAGTGGTGTTACGTCCTAACCCGGCATTTATGCCGACGGTTATTAAGAGCTCATATAGATCACAGACCGTGGAGCTGTGGGCTTTTTCTCGCCCTCCCCATGGGGAGAGGAGAGAGGAAAGGCTCCATCGCCTGTGCCCAGTGCGTGCTTTGGCTTGTTACGTTGAGCGCACAACAGCGATTAGGTCATAGCCTCAGCTGTTTGTGTGTCACGGTGCGGCTGCACTAGGTAGACCACTTTCGAAACAGCGTCTGTCTCATTGGCTTTGGGAAGGCATTGAGATGGCGTATGAGGCAGCGGGGCAACCATTGCCTCGGGTATAAGAGCCCACTCCACTCGTGGAGTCGCGGCTGCTATGGCCCTTTTCAGATGAACAGGGTTGAAGGATATTTGTGCGGCGTCGTGGTCGTCACCTTCTCCTTTTATCAGTTTTTATCTCTTAGATATGTCTTCTAACTCTTTGGCTCAGTCTGTACTCAGCGTGGCTGATGGGAGGCCTTGAGCTAGGAGAAAGGAATGCAGGACTGAGGAGACGGGTCTCTTTCAGGTCCACTCCTTGTAGAAGAAACATGTATAGCATGACTCCTGACTGATATGTTCAGTGCAGTAGAAGGCATGTATTGATCTGCCCACCAGTGAATAACTGGGTTGGGGCAGAATGATGAGGGAAAATAGTACGGGTAACTTTGGTTACGGTACTATCAGACCGGTCATATAGCTCCTGAGTGGCGCAGTGCTAACTGTGCCACTAGAGATCCTGGTTCGAATCCAGGCTCTGTCGCAGCCGGCCGCGACCGGGAGACTCATGGGCGGCGCACAATTGGCCCAGCGTTGTCCAGGGTAGGGGAGGGAATGGCCGGCAGGGATGTAGCTCAGTTGATAGAGCATGGCGTTTGCAACGCCAGGGTTGTGGGTTCGATTCCCACGGGGGGCCAGTATAAAAAATAAATACAAATGTATTCACTAACTGTAAGTCGCTCTGGATAAGAGCGTCTGCTAAATGACGTAAATGTAAAATGTAAATAATATTGACGGAATTGTGACTCAATCTTTCTGCTTGTTCAGATTAGTATGACTCGTTCTGGAGTCTACCCATTAATCTTTGGGGATCCATAGATTTGAGTGTGGTGGATTACCGAATACACAGTGTAGAGTCAGTGGTCGGTTTTGTTTAAGACAGCATATTGAGGTACCATCTATCTGCTGGTTCAGAGTAGTATGGTGTTGGGCTCGGCAGGGAGTACATTTTGGAGCGTTGTGCTCCACCTTAAACTAATAGGAGCAGAGCTCCCCTATGGGGCGGAGCTCCACGATATAGAACGATAGTTACCGGAGTTGTAACTCCAGTTCTATGAGTGGAGCGGAGCCCCCATAGGACTTAAGGCCCTGCCGACCCTCCAGTCTCGCTAAAGATAATTTCTCGGGAGGCTGATTGAGGGGAAGCGTCCCTTCTTATAGGGACACCTGTACTCCTATTGGCTGCAGGTGTGTGCATAATTTTGTCTCAGGCTGTTCGCTGCCTAGGCAGCGGGGTAAACCAATAGGAGCAGAGCTCCCCTATGGGGCTCCGCTCCACTCATAGAACTGGAGTTACAACTCCGGTAACTATCGTTTTTGCGACTGCACTTGAAGAAACTTTCAAAGTTCTTGAAATTTTCCAGGTTGACTGACCTTCATGTCTTAAAGTAATGATGGACTGTCGTTTCTCTTTGCTTATTTGAGCTGTTCTTGCCATAATATGGACTTAGTCTTTTACCAAATAGGGCTATCTTCTGTATACCACCCCCTACCTTGTCACAACACAACTGATTGGCTCAAATGCATTAAGAAGGAAAGAAATTCCACAAATTAACTTTTAAGAAGGCACATCTGTTAATTGAAATGCATTCCAGGTGACTACCTCATGAAGCTGGTTGAGAGAATACCAAGAGTGTGCAAAGCTGTCAAGGCAAAGGGTGGCTATTTTGAACAATCTCAAATATAAAACACTTTTTTTGTTACTTCATGATTACATATGTGTTATTTCATAGTTTTGATGTCTTCACTATTATTCTACACTGTAGAAAATAGTACAAATAAAGAAACCCTGGAATGAGTAGGTGTCTGTCCAAACTTTTGACTGGTACGGTGTGTCCAGAACTGTCACATTAAAACAATATGCTTTAGTTATAACTGTCTGTTATGTTCAGCACATGAAAAGGCCAAGCTGAAGAGGGAGAAAGAAGATAACCTGGAAGCCAAAAAGCGAGAGAAGGAGGACAAAGAAAAGAAGCGAGAAGAGATGAAGAAGATGTTTGAAGAGGAGAAGCAGAGGAGGAAAGTAGAGAAGGAAAAAGTGAGTCTGAGTAACTTATTTTTTGATCAATGACATTTGAGTTTAATTTACATTTGATTTGTACACCATACAACTTCTCATGTTAATATACAGTGGGGAGAACAAGTATTTGATACACTGCTGATTTTGCAGGTTTTCCTACTTACAAAGCATGTAGAGGTCTGTAATTTTTATCATAGGTACACTTCAACTGTGAGAGACGGAATCTACAACAAAAATCCAGAAAATCACATTGTATGATTTTTAAGTAATTAATTTGCATTTTATTGCATGACATAAGTATTTGATACATCAGAAAAGCAGAACTTAATATTTGGTACAGAAACCTTTGTTTGCAATTACAGAGATCATACGTTTCCTGTAGGTCTTGACCAGGTTTGCACACACTGCAGCAGGGATTTTGGCCCACTCCTCCATACAGACCTTCTCCAGATCCTTCAGGTTTCGGGGCTGTCGCTGGGCAATATGGACTTTCAGCTCCCTCCAAAGATTTTCTATTGGGTTCAGGTCTGGAGACTGGCTAGGCCACTCCAGGACCTTGAGATGCTTCTTACGGAGCCACTCCTTAGTTGCCCTGGCTTTGTGTTTCGGGTCGTTGTCATGCTGGAAGACCCAGCCACGACCCATCTTCAATGCTCTTACTGAGGGAAGGAGGTTGTTGGCCAAGATCTCGCGATACATAGCCCCATCCATCCTCCCCTCAATACGGTGCAGTCGTCCTGTCCCCTTTGCAGAAAAGCATCCCCAAAGAATGATGTTTCCACCTCCATGCTTCACGGTTGGGATGGTGTTATTGGGGTTGTACTCATCCTTCTTCCTCCAAACACGGCGAGTGGAGTTTAGACCAAAAAGCTCTATTTTTGTCTCATCAGACCACATGACCTTCTCCCATTCCTTCTCTGGATCATCCAGATGGTCATTGCCAAACTTCAGACGGGCCTGGACATGCGCTGGCTTGAGCAGGGGGACCTTGCGTGCGCTGCAGGATTTTAATCCATGACGGCGTAGTGTGTTACTAATGGTTTTCTTTGAGACTGTGGTCCCAGCTCTCTTCAGGTCATTGACCAGGTCCTGCCCTGTAGTTCTGGGCTGATCCCTCACCTTCCTCATGATCATTGATGCCCCACGAGGTGAGATCTTGCATGGAGCCCCAGACCGAGGGTGATTGACCGTCATCTTGAACTTCTTCCATTTTCTAATAATTGCGCCAACAGTTGTTGCCTTCTCACCAAGCTGCTTGCCTATTGTCCTGTAGCCCATCCCAGCCTTGTGCAGGTCTACAATTTTATCCCTGATGTCCTTACACAGCGCTCTGGTCTTGGCCATTGTGGAGAGGTTGGAGTCTGTTTGAGTGTGTGGACAGGTGTCTTTTATACAGGTAACGAGTTCAAACAGGTGCAGTTAATACAGGTAATGAGTGGAGAACAGGAGGGCTCCTTAAAGAAAAACTAACAGGTCTGTGAGAGCCGGAATTCTTACTGGTTGGTAGGTGATCAAATACTTATGTCATGCAATAAAATGCAAATTAATTACTTAGAAATCATACAATGTGATTTTCTGGATTTTTGTTGTAGATTCCGTCTCTCACAGTTGAAGTGTACCTATGATAAAAATTACAGACCTCTACATGCTTTGTAAGTAGGAAAACCTGCAAAATCGGCAGTGTATCAAATACTTGTTCTCCCCACTGTAGATTATATTGTTTGTATCATTATACTGTATTGCAGGAGAGGGAGAAGCTGAAGGAGGAAAAGAAGCAATATGCAGAGCGACTGAAGATGTGGAGCAAACCTAGAGAAGACTTGGAGTGTGAGGACCTGAAGGTAAGCAGCCCCAGTAACATCCTTAGCTAGTCTTTATTTGGCCTCATCCTCCATAGTTGAAACATGTTTATTTTTTCTATTTAATACAAAAGTTGTCCTGGGCCCAGAGATGTTAGCGATGTATGGCCAGTTCATATGGTCAATATGAGTTAGCTATACACCACAAACACACCTGGGACCAATGTTCCCGCAAATTTATTCGGTACTGAGTAAATTTCAGCTTCGCTGAGCGCAAACTTGAATATTGTGAAAATTCTGTGCAACTTCCAGTGTTCCTTTACTGTGGACTATTTGCATTGTCCCACCCCCTCTTTATTTTAATTTTTTTACTTATCTATTTTTTACTTAACACTTATTTTTCTTTCAACTGCATTGTTGGTTAAGGGCTTGTAAGTAAGCATATTCGGCGCATGTGACAAATGACATTTGATTTGAACACTGAGGCTGTACCCGCTTTAAGTTACTGTTTCAGACAGTGGTCAAGTAGGCTACTGTGGCAATTTGATCATAATGTAGGCCTACAATCAAAAACAATGTTAAATGCATCCCATAACAATTTAACATCGCTGATTACAAATTATCTATAACTGGGCTAATAACTCACTAACTAGCAAATTATATGAACAAATGTGCACGTTTGACTACATGCAGTTCTCGCTTTGATCTCAAAACAAGCGCATCTACTCACGACCACTCATGCTTTAAACACATAGTCCAGTTGAAAGTGAATGGCACAGATCCATATATGGCAATGGTCTATTTGCATATATGCCTGCTACAGCTCTGATTGGTTATGCCACACCGGTCTGTGTAGAGTACAGGCTGAGTCTTGCATGTCAATGCAATATAATCCTACTCTGATGCGTTCTGCCTACAACAATCTCTTGCATAGTTAGTTTTGTATACTAAGTCTTGGGTAGTTAGTTTTGTTACTGTACGTTGCATTGAAAGTGGCTAATATTGCATTGATTCGATCACAATTGCCACAGTAAAGAGAAATGTTGATAGTGTTAACAAAGGGGGGAAAACTCCAGAAAGTTGATTTGAAGTTCAATCTCGTGCTTCTCTGCGCGGGCTGATATTTCTTCTGCATGGCAGCTCCCCGGCGCACGCACACAGCTTAGAGGGAACATTGTCTGGGACCGTGCTAGTTTTTTGGGGGTTGGGACACAGTCAAGGTTGGGAAACATTGTCCTAAATGCTATCTCTACATTTGTATATGGGATTGAATTCAAATGACTATGGTATAACCAAGTCATTATTGTAAAAGACTTGTTCTCAATGACTTACTAGTTAAATAAAGCTAGAATGTTTAGGCTTCTGACTCTCTCCTTTATGGCATGGTGTCCAGGATCTCCCAGCCCCGGTCCCAGTGAAGACCCGTCTGCCTGCAGAGCTATTTGGAGACGCCCTCATGGTACTGGAATTCCTCAAAGCTTTCGGAGAGCTCTTTGACCTGAAGGACGAGTTTCCAGAAGGCATCACACTCGGTGAGAAACACTGGCAAAACATTGTAAAAATACAATCACTGGTCCTGCACTTTTTTAGTTTTATCACCCATGTTTGCTTTTTGAATATAGTTTGTCATTTCTTGTGTGAAAGTACGCTAGTACAGTGACCGTCTGGTTGAGTGTGTTAAGAGTTTTCTGACTGTGGGGCCCTTGTCTGTGTGTTCCAGAGGTGCTGGAGGAGGCCCTGGTGGTGTCGGACCCTGAGGGGCCGTTGTGTGAGCTGCTCTTCTTCTTCCTGTCGGCCATATTCCAGGCCCTAGCTGAGGAGCAGGAGGAGGTGGCCCGCGACCAGGTGGCTGAGGCGGACGCCAAAGGTAGGGACAGCAACGGGCCTCAAACGCTTGTTTAGTGTCAACTAGTAAACCCATGTTTAAACTCTGTTTTAGTCTAGTAAACCCATTGTGATTGGTCACCAAATAGACTTTGGATGTTATCAATGGCGACATTTCATCCAGGCTGTAGGATTGACTGACTGACAATTTTTAGCATCATGGTGAAATCTTAGTTTTCACTGAGTGAATCGTCTTCCTTGTTGGCAGATCTGAGTGAGGCCCTGGATGATGATGCGGACCCCACCCAGTCAGCCATCAGTGCTGTGGCTTCTCTGGCTGCTGCCTGGCCTCAGCTGCACCAAGGTGAGAGAAGGACAACAGTCTTTAATATAGTCAATGTTCATATACAGCTATTTGTGCATTTGTTTATTTTGTACTGAGAGCCTGACTCTACAGCAGTGGTTCCCAAACTGTGGGGTGCGCCCCCTAGGGGGGACACGAGGGGTCAGTGGAGGGGGAGAGAGAGCGAGACTGTCTGGCTTTAAACTTACTCTTGAAAGTTGTGATGGTAGAATGCAGAAGGTGTAATTTCTAAATTGGGTAGTGCGTCATCAGCTTTTCCTCTTGTCATGTCAGTCATTGCATACTTTAGAGAGCTATTTATAACTTGTCAGAAATGTCCAGATCAACTAGCCCATGTCAGCTAATCTTTTTTTATTCGTTTTTTTTTAGCCCCCAATTTTTCTGTCGCTCAAATATCACATGAATACATATTAGACATGGCAAAATGTATTGCAAGAAAATAAGCTTTAAACCTGCAGGATGCAGGTCTTAATAACTACAGTGGGGAAAAAAGGTATTTAGTCAGCCACCAATTGTGCAAGTTCTCCCACTTAAAAAGATGAGAGGCCTGTAACTTTCATTATAGGTACACGTCAACTATGACAGACAAAATGAGATTTTTTTTCTTCAGAAAATCACATTGTAGGATTTTTAATGACTTTATTTGCAAATTATGGTGGAAAATAAGTATTTGGTCAATAACAAAAGTTTCTCAATACTTTGTTATATACCCTTTGTTGGCAATGACACAGGTCAAACGTTTTCTGTAAGTCTTCACAAGGTTTTCACACACTGTTGCTGGTATTTTGGCCCATTCCTCCATGCAGATCTCCTCTAGAGCAGTGATGTTTTGGGGCTGTCGCTGGGCAACACAGACTTTCAACTCCCTCCAAATATGTTCTATGGGGTTGAGATCTGGAGACAGGCTAGGCCACTCCAGGACCTTGAAATGCTTCTTACGAAGCCACTCCTTCGTTGCCCGGGCGGTGTGTTTGGGATCATTGTCATGCTGAAAGACCCAGCCACGTTTCATCTTCAATGCCCTTGCTGATGGAAGGAGGTTTTCACTCAAAATCTCACGATACATGGCCCCATTCATTCTTTCCTTTACACGAATCAGTCGTCCTGGTCCCTTTGCAGAAAAACAGCCCCAAAGCATGATGTTTCCACCCCCATGCTTCACAGTAGGTATGGTGTTCTTTGGATGCAACTCAACATTCTTTGTCCTCCAAACACGACGAGTTGAGTTTTTACCAAAAAGTTCTATTTTGGTTTCATCTGACCATATGACATTCTCCCAATCCTCTTCTGGATCATCCAAATGCACTCTAGCAAACTTCAGACGGGCCTGGACATGTACTGGCTTAAGCAGGGGGACACGTCTGGCACTGCAGGATTTGAGTCCCTGGCGGCGTAGTGTGTTACTGATGGTAGGCTTTGTTACTTTGGTCCCAGCTCTCTGCAGGTCATTCACTAGGTCCCCCCGTGTGGTTCTGGGATTTTTGCTCACCGTTCTTGTGATCATTTTGACCCCACGGGGTGAGATCTTGCGTGGAGCTCCAGATCGAGGGAGATTATCAGTGGTCTTGTATGTCTTCCATTTCCTAATAATTGCTCCCACAGTTGATTTCTTCAAACCAAGCTGCTTACCTATTGCAGATTCAGTCTTCCCAGCCTGGTGCAGGTCTACAATTTTGTTTCTGGTGTCCTTTGACAGCTCTTTGGTCTTGGCCATAGTGGAGTTTGGAGTGTGACTGTTTGAGGTTGTGGACAGGTGTCTTTTATACTGATAACAAGTTCAAACAGGTGCCATTAATACAGGTAACGAGTGGAGGACAGAGGAGCCTCTTAAAGAAGTTACAGGTCTGTTAGAGCCAGAAATCTTGCTTGTTTGTAGGTGACCAAATACTTATTTTCCACCATAATTTGCAAATAAATTCATAAAAAATCCTAGAATGTGATTTTCTGGAAAGAAAATTCTCAATTTGTCAGTCATAGTTGACGTGTACCTATGATGAAAATTACAGGCCTCTCTCATCTTTTTAAGTGGGAGAACTTGCACAATTGGTGGCTGACTAAATACTTTTTTCCCCACTGTACATCCTGTTTGCAACAAGGCACTAAAGTAATACTGCAAAAAATGTGGCAAAGCAATTCACTTTTTGTCCTGAATACAAAGCGTTATATTTGGGGGAAATCCAATACAACAAATTACTGAGTACCACTCTTCATATTTTCAAGCATAGTGAAGCGTTATATTTGGGGGAAATCCAATACAACAAATTACTGAGTACCACTCTTCATATTTTCAAGCATAGTGGTGGCTGCATCATGTTATGTGTATGCTTGTAATCATTAAGGACTGGGGAGTTTTGCAGGATAAAAAAGAAAGGGAATGGAGCTAAGCACAGGCAAGATCCTAGACAAAAACCTGGTTCAGTCTGCTTTCCACCAGACACTGGGAGATTAATTCACCTTTCAGCAGGACAATAACCTACAACACAAAGCCAAATCTACACTGGAGTTTCTTACCAAGAAGACAGTGAATGTTCCTGAGTGGCCGAGTTACAGTTTTGACTTAAATCTGCTTGAAAACCTATGGCAAGGAACGGTGTTTCCTCCGACACATTGGTGCGGCTGGCTTCCGGGTTAAGTGGGCGGGTATTAAGGAGCGCGGTTTGGTGGGTCACGTTTCGGAGGACACATTACTCGACCGTCGCCTCTCCCGAGCCCGTTGGGGAGTTGCAGCAATGAGACAAGATTGTAATTGGATCGCAATTGGATATCACGAAATTGGGGAGAAAAAGGGGGTAATTTTTTTAAACAAATAAAATAAGAAATATGGCAAGACTTAAATGGTTGTCTAGCAATGATCAACAATCAATTTGACAGAGCTTGAAGATTTTAAAAAATAATAATGTGCAAATATCGTACAATCGAGGTGTGCAAAGCTCTTAGAGGCTTACCTAGAAAGACTCACACCTGTAATTGCTGCCAAAGGTGATTATAACATGTATTGACTCAGGGGTGTGAATACTTATGCAAATTAGATATTTCTGTATGTTGTGTAGATGGGTGAGAAAAAATCTATTTAATCCATTTTGAATTCAGGCTGTAACACAACAAAATGTGGATTAAGTCAAGGGGTATGAATACATTCTGAAGGCACTGTATCTGCACATATGTGACGTAGTACGCAATTCTCGGGGAACACTTTTGGCTCGTGAGTGCTACTTTCAGAACTACTGGCAAAAAAGTATACAAAAGTACAGAAGAATCTCTTTAATGTTTAACTATTTTTTTTTCTCTGAAAAATATATTATTTTATCAATTAAATAATGTTGCCTATTGCATTTACAACACAACAGTACAACAACAAATCAAAATACCCCAAAAATAACTTGAAACATATGTTTTAAATGCAATATATTTTTATTACTATTCTAAAGAAATTAAATTACAAACAGAAAATGGAAGTCTTCAAAGGTGGCAGTCTCCATGTGATCTCATTTGGAGATGTAATATCTGCAGCTTTTATTCAATATCACTTGGTTTAAGAAGTAGTCCTCAGTCTTAAATGACGCAAACCTCAGTGAGCCCAGACTGTGTGTAGCAGGGCTTCTCGGTTGCCTCGTAGTTGGATGCCTCAGCATTGTCAGATACAACTTTGGCTAGCTTGGTGTCGAATGGGTTCAATGCCACCTGGATGGCAGGCTCAGAGTCAGGCACAAGGAAGTTATCTGGGATGCTAGGCAGAGGCGGCTCACACTCTCTCAGGCTGACAGCACTCTTTCCAGGTCTCTTTTCCGACTCAGATTTGTCCTTAGTGGAGATGAACTCCTTTGACTTCTGCAACTCTTTTGCAGAATCGTCAGAAATGGGGGCACACTGTGGTGTGGATGATGCTTGTTTCAAACCAAACCGTGAAGAGATGCTCTCCCGAACTCTGGATGCCAGTGTCTGTGGTTCAGTGGTGGCTGGTTCCCTTTTCTTCAACCTGGCAGTGGCAATAGCATCAGATCGCCTTCTAGCCTCCTTGGAGATTCTCACAGCATCATAGAGAACCACTATTACGATGAAGCCATAGAAAACGAGCCCCAAAATCAGGTTCACCTTCACAAGTGGCTCGGAGTAAGAAGGGTCAGTCAATATGTTGACTCTGGGTTTGATCTTCAGGGTGCTCTTCTGAGCTTTTGGAGCTGGAGCCTGAAGATTTTCTTTGAAGACGTTGTTGTCACCTTGCAATGCTTTTTGCTTGTAAGCCTGTAGATAAGGAATAATTTTCTCCACAATCATCTGTGGGACTTTAGCTTTACCTGGGAAAGTATCATCTTTCATCCTCTGAAGTTGTTCCAGCATCTGGTCCACTTGCACCATTTTGGTCCATTTTGCAACATTGGGGATGTCCTGAACAGGGTGGTCCTTCACTGGCATCAAAGGCTTGTGCTCTGGAACAGAAATCAGGGGCTCTACAAGCTCCGCGGTCTCTTTAGAATTTTTTGAGGAATATCCTTTTGTCAACTGGCCCACGTTACCTGGAGAAGAATCGTCTTTCACTCGTAAACTCTTAAGTTGTTCCAGCAATGACTTAAAATTGGTCTCTTTTGTAGCATCAGGGTTGTTCTGAACAGAGTGGTCCTTCACTGGCATCAACGGCTTGTGCTCTGGAACAGAAATCAGGGGCTCTACAAAGTCCGGGGGGTCTTTGACATTTTTTGAGGAATATCCTTTTGTCAACTGGCCCACATTACCTGGAGAAGAATAGTCTTTCACCCGTAAACTATCAACTTGTTCTTTTGTAGCATCAGGGTTGTTCAGAATAGGGTGGTCCTTCACTGGCATCAAAGTCTTGTGCTCTGAAGACACCAACACATTTGCAGCAACAGGCGAAAGGAGACAGAAAATAACAGCCAACAATAACATCTTCATGTTGCACAGCCCACCCTTCTGGGAGAGCTGTGCCATTTTGATTAAAGAAATCGTCTTTCAAAAGTAGGCAGTACAAATTACAAGTCAAACTACTAGTTGGCTAGCTGTGCTTTGTAAAAGTGAATTGGGTTTACTGTTCACTGTCAAACATACACAAGATATGGACCCAACATGATGTAATAGAAGAATCTGATTATAACATCACGAGTTCCAGAATGTTGTAACCTGCTCCTCATTGTATTCATTAATTCAGATAATTCATTAATTCATCTCTTTGGATACATTTGGCAATTAGTTTGACGTGCAGTCCCTGTCCCTAAACTGCTTTCTCCTACGACTTTGGCAAATGCCCCCCGTGACCTACAGCTCCTCATATACTACCAGGTCATGGTAGTATCTACACTGGTGCTGGTGCTTGCGATGACCCAGCTAATTATGAGCTTTCTGACCCAGGGAGTGAGAGACTTTTTGGCCTTCCTCATGGCCCGCACTGCCCCCCTGGAAACCAAATGTTTAAAGACATGGTACTTTGGTGACTAAGAAAGTATTTTTTAAACCTCTCACTTTGGGCTGGATGCTTCAAAGTCTAGTTCATACATGCATAATCTGAGGGAAGAATTACTGTTCAGAGAGAGAGAGAGAGAGAGAAATGAGATTTTAATTTTATTTTGGCCCATTCCTCCATGCAGATCTCCTCTAGAGCAGTGATGTTTTGGGGCTGTCGCTGGGCAACACGCTTTCAACTCCCTCCAAAGATTTTCTATGGGGTTGAGATCTGGAGACTGGCTAGGCCACTCCAGGACCTTGAAATGCTTCTTACGAAGCCACTCCTTCGTTGCCCGGGCGGTGTGTTTGGGATCATTGTCATGCTGAAAGACCCAGTCACGTTTCATCTTCAATGCCCTTGCTGATGGAAGGAGGTTTTCACTCAATCTCACGATACATGGCCCCATTCATTCTTTCCTTTACACGGATCAGTCGTCCTGGTCCCTTTGCAGAAAAAACAGCCCCAAAGCATGATGTTTCCACCCCCATGCTTCACAGTAGGTATGGTGTTCTTTGGATGCAACTCAGCATTCTTTGTCCTCCAAACACGACGAGTTGAGTTTTTACCAAAAAGTTCTATTTTGGTTTCATCTGACCATATGACATTCTCCCAATCCTCTTCTGGATCATCCAAATGCACTCTAGCAAACTTCAGACGGGCCTGGACATGTACTGGCTTAAGCAGGGGGACACGTCTGGCACTGCAGGATTTGAGTCCCTGGCGGCGTAGTGTGTTACTGATGGTAGGCTTTGTTACTTTGGTCCCAGCTCTCTGCAGGTCATTCACTAGGTCCCCCCGTGTGGTTCTGGGATTTTTGCTCACCGTTCTTGTGATCATTTTGACCCCACGGGGTGAGATCTTGCGTGGAGCCCCAGATCGAGGGAGATTATCAGTGGTCTTGTATGTCTTCCATTTCCTAATAATTGCTCCCACAGTTGATTTCTTCAAACCAAGCTGCTTACCTATTGCAGATTCAGTCTTCCCAGCCTGGTGCAGGTCTACAATTTTGTTTCTGGTGTCCTTTGACAGCTCTTTGGTCTTGGCCATAGTGGAGTTTGGAGTGTGACTGTTTGAGGTTGTGGACAGGTGTCTTTTATACTGATAACAAGTTCAAACAGGTGCCATTAATACAGGTAACGAGTGGAGGACAGAGGAGCCTCTTAAAGAAGTTACAGGTCTGTTAGAGCCAGAAATCTTGCTTGTTTGTAGGTGACCAAATACTTATTTTCCACCATAATTTGCAAATAAATTCATAAAAAATCCTCCAATGTGATTTTCTGGGAAAAAAAATCTCAATTTGTCCGTCATAGTTGACGTGTACCTATGATGAAAATTACAGGCCTCTCTCATCTTTTTAAGTGGGAGAACTTGCACAATTGGTGGCTGACTAAATACTTTTTTCCCCCACTGTACATCCTGTTTGCAACAAGGCACGAAAGTAATACTGCAAAAAATGTGGCAAAGCAATTCACTTTTTGTCCTGAATACAAAGCGTTATATTTGGGGGAAATCCAATACAACAAATTACTGAGTACCACTCTTCATATTTTCAAGCATAGTGAAGCGTTATATTTGGGGGAAATCCAATACAACAAATTACTGAGTACCACTCTTCATATTTTCAAGCATAGTGGTGGCTGCATCATGTTATGTGTATGCTTGTAATCATTAGCAGGGGGACACGTTGTCTGGACCTATGGCAGTCTCTATGGGGGTGCCACAGGGTTCAATTCTTGGGCCGACACTTTTCTCCGTGTATATCAATGATGTCGCTCTTGCTGCTGGTGACTCTCAGATCCACCTCTACGCAGACGACACCATTTTGTATACATCTGGCCCTTCATTGGACACTGTGTTAACAAACCTCCAAACGAGGTTCAATGCCATACAACAATCCTTCAGTAGCCTTCAACTGCTCTTAAACACTAGTAAAACTAAATGCATGCTTTTCAATCGAACGCTGCTGGCACCCGCCCACCCGACTAGAATCACCACTCTCGACGGGTCTGACCTAGAGTATGTGGACAACTACAAATACCTAGGTGTCTGGTTAGACTGTAAACTCAACTTCCAGACTCACATAAAGAATCTCCAATCCAAAGTTAAATCTAGAATCGGCTTCCTATTTCGCAACAAAGCCTCCTTCACTCATGCTGCCAAACATGCCCTCGTAAAACTGACTATCCTACCGATCCTTGACTTCGGCGATGTCATTTACAAAATAGCCTCCAACACTCTACTCAGCAAATTGGATGTAGTCTATCACAGTGCCATCCGTTTTGTCTCCAAAGCCCCATACACTACCCACCACTGTGACCTGTACGCTCTTGTTGGCTGGTCCTCACTACATGTTCGTCGTCAAACCCACTGGCTCCAGGCCATCTATAAATCACTGCTAGGCAAATCCCCGCCTTATCTTAGCAGCACCCACCCGTAGTCTGCGCTCCAGCAGGTATATCTCACTGGTCATTCCCAAAGCCAACACCTCCTTTGGCCGCCATTCCTTCCAGTTCTCTGCTGCCAATGACTGGAACGAATTGCAAAAATCTCTGAAGCTGGAGACTCTTATCTCCCTCAATAACTTTAAGCATCAGTTGTCAGAGCACCTTACCGATCACTGCACCTGTACACAGCCCATCGGAAATTAGCCCACCCAACTACCTCATCCCTATATTGTTATTTATTTTGCTCTTTTGCACCCCAGTAACTCTATTTGCACATAATCTCTTGCACATCTAGCATTCCAGTGTTAATACTATTGTAATTATTCTGCACTATAGCCTATTTATTGCCTTACCTCCATAACTTGCTACATTTGCACACACTGTATATATATTTTCTGTTGTATTTCTGACTTTATGTTTTTTACCCCATATGTAACTCTGTGTTGTTTTTATTGCACTACTTTGCTTTATCTTGGCCAGGTCGCAGTTGTAAATGAGAACCTGTTCTCAACTGGCTTACCTGGTTAAATAAAGGTGAAATAAAAAAATTTAAAAAAATTAAGGACTGGGGAGTTTTGCAGGATAAAAAAGAAAGGGAATGGAGCTAAGCACAGGCAAGATCCTAGACAAAAACCTGGTTCAGTCTGCTTTCCACCAGACACTGGGAGATTAATTCACCTTTCAGCAGGACAATAACCTACAACACAAAGCCAAATCTACACTGGAGTTTCTTACCAAGAAGACAGTGAATGTTCCTGAGTGGCCGAGTTACAGTTTTGACTTAAATCTGCTTGAAAACCTATGGCAAGGAACGGTGTTTCCTCCGACACATTGGTGCGGCTGGCTTCCGGGTTAAGTGGGCGGGTATTAAGGAGCGCGGTTTGGTGGGTCACGTTTCGGAGGACACATTACTCGACCGTCGCCTCTCCCGAGCCCGTTGTGGAGTTGCAGCAATGAGACAAGATTGTAATTGGATCGCAATTGGATATCACGAAATTGGGGAGAAAAAGGGGGTAATTTTTTAAACAAATAAAATAAGAAATATGGCAAGACTTAAATGGTTGTCTAGCAATGATCAACAATCAATTTGACAGAGCTTGAAGATTTTTAAAAATAATAATGTGCAAATATCGTACAATCGAGGTGTGCAAAGCTCTTAGAGGCTTACCTAGAAAGACTCACACCTGTAATTGCTGCCAAAGGTGATTATAACATGTATTGACTCAGGGGTGTGAATACTTATGCAAATTAGATATTTCTGTATGTTGTGTAGATGGGTGAGAAAAAATCTATTTAATCCATTTTGAATTCAGGCTGTAACACAACAAAATGTGGATTAAGTCAAGGGGTATGAATACATTCTGAAGGCACTGTATCTGCACATATGTGACGTAGTACGCAATTCTCGGGGAACACTTTTGGCTCGTGAGTGCTACTTTCAGAACTACTGGCAAAAAAGTATACAAAAGTACAGAAGAATCTCTTTAATGTTTAACTATTTTTTTTCTCTGAAAAATATATTATTTTATCAATTAAATAATGTTGCCTATTGCATTTACAACACAACAGTACAACAACAAATCAAAATACCCCAAAAATAACTTGAAACATATGTTTTAAATGCAATATATTTTTATTACTATTCTAAAGAAATTAAATTACAAACAGAAAATGGAAGTCTTCAAAGGTGGCAGTCTCCATGTGATCTCATTTGGAGATGTAATATCTGCAGCTTTTATTCAATATCACTTGGTTTAAGAAGTAGTCCTCAGTCTTAAATGACGCAAACCTCAGTGAGCCCAGACTGTGTGTAGCAGGGCTTCTCGGTTGCCTCGTAGTTGGATGCCTCAGCATTGTCAGATACAACTTTGGCTAGCTTGGTGTCGAATGGGTTCAATGCCACCTGGATGGCAGGCTCAGAGTCAGGCACAAGGAAGTTATCTGGGATGCTAGGCAGAGGCGGCTCACACTCTCTCAGGCTGACAGCACTCTTTCCAGGTCTCTTTTCCGACTCAGATTTGTCCTTAGTGGAGATGAACTCCTTTGACTTCTGCAACTCTTTTGCAGAATCGTCAGAAATGGGGGCACACTGTGGTGTGGATGATGCTTGTTTCAAACCAAACCGTGAAGAGATGCTCTCCCGAACTCTGGATGCCAGTGTCTGTGGTTCAGTGGTGGCTGGTTCCCTTTTCTTCAACCTGGCAGTGGCAATAGCATCAGATCGCCTTCTAGCCTCCTTGGAGATTCTCACAGCATCATAGAGAACCACTATTACGATGAAGCCATAGAAAACGAGCCCCAAAATCAGGTTCACCTTCACAAGTGGCTCGGAGTAAGAAGGGTCAGTCAATATGTTGACTCTGGGTTTGATCTTCAGGGTGCTCTTCTGAGCTTTTGGAGCTGGAGCCTGAAGATTTTCTTTGAAGACGTTGTTGTCACCTTGCAATGCTTTTTGCTTGTAAGCCTGTAGATAAGGAATAATTTTCTCCACAATCATCTGTGGGACTTTAGCTTTACCTGGGAAAGTATCATCTTTCATCCTCTGAAGTTGTTCCAGCATCTGGTCCACTTGCACCATTTTGGTCCATTTTGCAACATTGGGGATGTCCTGAACAGGGTGGTCCTTCACTGGCATCAAAGGCTTGTGCTCTGGAACAGAAATCAGGGGCTCTACAAGCTCCGAGGTCTCTTTAGAATTTTTTGAGGAATATCCTTTTGTCAACTGGCCCACGTTACCTGGAGAAGAATCGTCTTTCACTCGTAAACTCTTAAGTTGTTCCAGCAATGACTTAAAATTGGTCTCTTTTGTAGCATCAGGGTTGTTCTGAACAGAGTGGTCCTTCACTGGCATCAACGGCTTGTGCTCTGGAACAGAAATCAGGGGCTCTACAAAGTCCGGGGGGTCTTTGACATTTTTTGAGGAATATCCTTTTGTCAACTGGCCCACATTACCTGGAGAAGAATAGTCTTTCACCCGTAAACTATCAACTTGTTCTTTTGTAGCATCAGGGTTGTTCAGAATAGGGTGGTCCTTCACTGGCATCAAAGTCTTGTGCTCTGAAGACACCAACACATTTGCAGCAACAGGCGAAAGGAGACAGAAAATAACAGCCAACAATAACATCTTCATGTTGCACAGCCCACCCTTCTGGGAGAGCTGTGCCATTTTGATTAAAGAAATCGTCTTTCAAAAGTAGGCAGTACAAATTACAAGTCAAACTACTAGTTGGCTAGCTGTGCTTTGTAAAAGTGAATTGGGTTTACTGTTCACTGTCAAACATACACAAGATATGGACCCAACATGATGTAATAGAAGAATCTGATTATAACATCACGAGTTCCAGAATGTTGTAACCTGCTCCTCATTGTATTCATTAATTCAGATAATTCATTAATTCATCTCTTTGGATACATTTGGCAATTAGTTTGACGTGCAGTCCCTGTCCCTAAACTGCTTTCTCCTACGACTTTGGCAAATGCCCCCGTGACCTACAGCTCCTCATATACTACCAGGTCATGGTAGTATCTACACTGGTGCTGGTGCTTGCGATGACCCAGCTAATTATGAGCTTTCTGACCCAGGGAGTGAGAGACTTTTTGTCCTTCCTCATGGCCCGCACTGCCCCCCTGGAAACCAAATGTTTAAAGACCTGGTACTTTGGTGACTAAGAAAGTATTTTTTAAACCTCTCACTTTGGGCTGGATGCTTCAAAGTCTAGTTCATACATGCATAATCTGAGGGAAGAATTACTGTTCAGAGAGAGAGAGAAATGAGATTTTATTTTTATTTTGGCCCATTCCTCCATGCAGATCTCCTCTAGAGCAGTGATGTTTTGGGGCTGTCGCTGGGCAACACGCTTTCAACTCCCTCCAAAGATTTTCTATGGGGTTGAGATCTGGAGACTGGCTAGGCCACTCCAGGACCTTGAAATGCTTCTTACGAAGCCACTCCTTCGTTGCCCGGGCGGTGTGTTTGGGATCATTGTCATGCTGAAAGACCCAGTCACGTTTCATCTTCAATGCCCTTGCTGATGGAAGGAGGTTTTCACTCAATCTCAAGTGTCTTTTATACTGATAACAAGTTCAAACAGGTGCCATTAATATAGGTAACGAGTGGTGGACAGAGGAGCCTCTTAAAGAAGAAGTTACAGGTCTGTGAGAGCCAGAAATCTTGCTTGTTTGTAGGTGACCAAATACTTATTTTCCACCATAATTTGCAAATAAATTCATTAAAAATCCTACAATGTGATTTTCTGGAGAAAAAAAATCTAAATTTGTCTGTCATAGTTGACGTGTACCTATGATGAAAATTACAGGCCTCTCTCATCTTTTTAAGTGGGAGAACTTGCACAATTGGTGGCTGACTAAATACTTTTTTCCCCCACTGTATATACAGTAATATACACTACCGGTCAGAAGTTTTAGAACACAATTTTTCCAGTTTGTATTGAAATTCACACAGTTTAATGTCTTAATGTACTCTGAAATTAAAGCATATAACAAATAAACAATTGGAGACAAAATAATAATGGAATCATTTTGTTTAACAAAATGTAATCTACATTTTTGACGCTTTGTAGGTTGCTTTGCTTTCACCCTTCTGCCCAGTTCATCCCAAACCAGCTGGATGGGGTTAAAGTCTGGAGACTGTTCTGGCCATTCCATGATTTGAAGCCTACCGTCTTATTTTCTTCTAAGGTAGTTCTGACAGCCTGGAGGTATGTTCTGGGTCATTATCTTGCTGTAGGAACCCCTGATCAACTAGGCGTACACTAAATGGTATTGCATGGCGCTGCAAAATGCTGTGGTAGCCGTTCTGGTTCAGGGTGCCACTCATTCTGTGCAAGTCGTCGACTCTGGATCCAGCAAAAGAGCACCAGACCATCAGGCTTCCTCCTCCATGTTTGACAGTTGGTGTCACACATTGAGGAACCTTCCTTTCGCCTACTCTACTAGCTTGGAAAAACCCTGCGTGATAAACCGAAGATTTCACATTTTGATTAATCGGTCCATAAGACCTTCCAGTCTTCAGTAGTACACTGGCTGTGCTTCATGGTCCGGGCAAGCCTCTTCTTCTTATTTTTCCATCTTAGTAATGGCTTTCTTACTGCCACTCCACCTGTCAAACCTGCAGCTTGAAGTCTTCTCTTCACAGTTGAAACTGAGACTTGCTTACTTCGACAAGTGTTAAGCTGTGCTTGAAGCTGTTGTCCTGTGAGCCGCCTATCATGCAAGCTGTTGACTCTCAGAAACTTGTCTTCTGACTCTGTTGTGGCTTTGTGTCTGCCAGACCTATTCCTGTCAGTTTCCTCCAGTTTCCAACTAATAATAATAATATTAATAGTGCCTTTTGATGGTGTAGGAAACTGTACTCACTGACACCTTGGCTTTCTTTGTAATTTCTCTAAAGACCTACACCTTTAAGGGTTATAATGGTCTGTCTTCCTTTGTTAATTGCCCTTTTCTCGCCATTATGATAGCAGTATACTACTTCCTGCAGTACAATACTGTCCAAATAATCCTTAAGAGGGTGAAGTAACACAGTCTGTTCCAACACTGCTTTTATACAGACAGAGGGTTTGTAAGTAATCAACAAAAGTTGGAACACCTGTAGGAATTGTTAGCATCAACTTTCAAGGCTTAAATTTTATATAAAATTGGAAAAATGGGTGTTCTAAAATTTGACTGGTAGTGTACACTAACTATACAATACATGACTGTCGGTCTCTGTAGGCTGCAGTCTGAAGCAGTTGGACCTGGACAGCTGTACTCTGTCAGAAATCCTGAGGCTGCACATCCTAGCATCGGGGGCCGACTGTAACTCCACCAACACCAAGTTTCGCTACCAGAAACAGGGAGGCTTCGGCTCTACAGACGACCCCTGTGTTGAACTGAGACTGGCCAACCCCGCTCTGATCAAGAGGCTGTCCTGCACTGCTGTCTACGACCTGCTGCCAGGTGAGACTGACACACACACACATACACACACACACACCGATTTGAAGCCACATGACTTGGGGAAACACTGGAGTGATCATACAGGGTAACGCCTTGTGTAATGTATCTGTGGTGTTCTGTCCAAGGTGAGAAGCTGAAGATCCTCCATGCTCTGTGTGGGAAGCTGCTGACTCTGGTGTCTACCAGGGACTTCATAGAGGACAGCGCTGACGAGCAGAGACAGGCCAAGCAGGAGCTCAGGGAACTGAAGGCTGAGCAGCACCGCAGAGAGAGGGAGGAGGCTGCCATCAGAGTCCGCAAGAGGAAGGAGGAGAAGTTGAAAGAACAGGAGATGAAACTGAAAGAGCTGAAAGAGAAACATGAAAAGCTGCTTGAAGAGGAAGGAAGAAATGGCAACATGAAGACTGAAGAAATGAACACCAGCACTGAGAGCCATGGGGAAGATAAGACCGAGGATGAGGAGGAGCAGGCTACCAACAGCAAGACTAAGAAGCGTAAGTAATAGCCTTCAGTCCTCTTACCCTAGATTTACATACTACTAGCAATCCTAGAAGGCTTTCACATAGTGTGACTCGATCAATTGTTGTGGTGAACAGTAACATTTATGGGCTTTTGTCTGGGAATGTTTTGGAACGGGAATGTTCAATAAGTTCTACATTGTTCTATGTTCTGTGGTCCAGTTCTATATGCAGTCAACTATTTTCCCCTCTGGTTAGTCTCATTATTGCCATTCTAACACAGACCTTTGATTTCACCCATAGAGGAAGGCAGCAATCCCAAGGAGAATCAGCCTAAAGAGGTGAGCCCAGGCCTGAGCCCAGAGGAGCTTGCTCAGCAGCAGCAGAGGGAGAAGGAGCTCCAGGAGAGGATTCAGAAGGCTGCAGCCTGCACCTACATCCTCCCCCTGGGGCGCGACCGCCTCTACCGCCGCTACTGGCTTTTCCCTTCCACATCAGCCCTCTTCGTGGAGGACGACTACTTCGGCCTGACAGAGGACATGCTGGAACCCCAGGAACCGACCTTGGAGACCCAGGAACAGGAGCCAGCCAAGGCTGAGTGGATGGAGGTGTCTCCGAACGAGGCCAGAGAACCAGAGGACCTCTCGCATACAGGCTGTACCCCAGGCCCTGACTCCAAACCTGTCCTGCCAGCCCCTGTGCAGAGCAGCTCTGCTCCCCCAGTGAACCGTCCTAACCAGTGGACCTTCTACAGCAGCCTCCAGGAGGTGGAAGCGCTGATTGAGGCCCTGAACCCACGGGGCCACAGGGAGAGCAGCCTGAAGGAGGCCCTGGTTCAGGAGAAGGAACGTATCGCACAGCTCCTCGGTACCGCTGCTGCAGCTGACCGCTACCACCACACAGGTACTGACTACTGCAGTCTACCAGACTATAGAGGAGAGGCCTCTGGCTAGAGCATCTTGATCCAAAAGGCCAATCAATCAAATGTATTTATATATATATCTTTCTAACATCAACAGGGCTGCATTCTGATATTTGTTTCACTAATTGGTCTAAAGATCTGATGTGATTGGTCTAAACATCAATTAAGCCTTGTTCACACTGTAGGCCTTAATGATCAAATCTGTTTTGGAATACCGACTGTCCAAATGGCAAGTTACAAGTGACCAAATCAGTGTTTGTGTTCAGACAGCAGTCATTTGCTGACATGGCTACGGTAGTAGCGACGGGTGTGTGCGCAGTGGTGGTCCTGCTTCTTATCACTCAGGAGTTATGTGGCAAGCTAAGGCGACAACGTTTCCCAGTTGCTTTGACTGTTTCAAAATCATAGTGTAAGAACACTTTTAAAGCCTCAAAGGATAAGATGATCCAACTTTCAATACGAGTCTGTTTTGGCTATCCACAGCAGTCAATTATCCATCTAGGTACCTGTTTAGCTTTCTGGCAATGAACAAGCTAGTTCGCCACCATATGTTCTTCTCAAACTGTCAACAGAGTATCTAGCAAGGCCAGTCGCATTGCCAGGAATCAGATTTGTATCTGATTTCAAACCACCTACGAAGGTGGTTAGAAATGTAGCTTGAAATATCCGATTCCATGTGCTTTTTGGCTGTTCAGACTGAAGGAAAAAGAACAGTTTCGAATCGGATTTGCCAAAATTTTTGATTTGAGTCACTTCAAACTGCCAATGTGAACAAGGCAATATCAGAATTGGGCTGCCTGTGTAAACACAGCCCAGTTGTCACTGACTCCATATGGACTCTGGTCCACTGGTTTGTTTGTCTCACTGCACTTCAGCTGACAATCACTTCAGGAGTGATTGATTGCTCATACTGTATGTTTGGGATATTCACTGTTTTGCCTATTTCTGTTTTTTTGTTTGCAGATATTAAACCAGAGGCTGGTGGTAGCAAAGTGGTCTCGGCCAAGTCCAAGGCTGCCCCTGCTCCTCTCCCAGAGGGCACAGCGGCTCCTGCTGAGAACTTCATGGGCAACAGGCTGAGAGACCTGCTGCTAGATATAGAGGACCGCATCTACCAGGGTACACTGGGCCAAATCAAGGTTAGGAGTAGTGGTGGCTATTCGGCGTGATAAATGTACAATAGGGTGGGGGTAAGGTAGATGTCTGATGGGGAGAAAATGTCCGGTGGGGCAGGTATCTGACTAGTGGTGGCTATTCAGCAGCCTGATGGTCTGGGGGTAGAAGCTATTAGTCAATCTGTTACTAGAACAGGCTGTGGCTCTGGTGGCTGAGGTCCCTGATGATCTTCTTGGCCTTGCTGCGATGCCTGGTATTGTAGGTGTCCTGGAGGGCAGGCAGTGTGCACCCAATGGTGCGTTCGTCTGAGCGTACCACCCTCTGTAGTGCCTTGCGGTCAGCGGAGGTGGAGTTGCCGTACCAGACTGTGATTCAGCCGGACAGTATGCTCTCGATGGTGCTCCTGTAGAACACTGAGTGTTTCTTGGGGACAGGCCCGAATTTCTTCAGCCTCCTGAGGTTAGTCGCTGTCCCTTCAGTGTCCATGTGGTTTGACCCCGTTGGTGAAGATGGGGGCGTGCCCAGCCTGGGTACTCCTGAAGTCCACAATCTGCTCCTTTTTGTTTTGCTGATGTTGAGGGAGAGGTTGTTTACCTGGCACCACACCGTCAGTGCGTACCTCCTGCCTGTAGTATGTCTATGGTATGTCGGGGCGTTAGGCGAATTGGAGAGGGTTGAGTGTGTTGAGGAGGTGATGTAGTCTTTGACTAACCTCGAAGCACTATATGACTGAAGTGAGTGCTACGGGTCGGTAGTCGTTCAGTTGCTTTCCTTTTCTTGGGCACGGGGATGATGGTGGACATCTTGAAGCAGGTGGGGATAACGGCCTGAGCTAGAGATTGAAAATGTCTGAACACAACAGCTAGCTGGTCTGCACGTGCTCTGAGGGCGCGGCTTGGGATGCCGTCTGGGCTGGCAGCCTTGCGACGGTTAACGTTTGAATGACTTGCATACGTGCCCCGTGGCGATCGTAAGCACGTAACCCTCGTTGTCCTCAGGGGCTCTCCTCGGCAGCTCAGTCGTTTTGCTCGAAGCGTGAGGAAAAATTTGTTTAGCTCTTCCGGTAGGGCGCGTTGGTATCCGCGACTTGACTGGCTTTCTTTTTGTAATCCGTGATCGTTAGAAGCCCCTGCCACATACACCTCATATCCGACCCGCTGAATTGCTCCCCCACTTTGTCCCATACTTGCCTAGCCATCTTGAGCGATCTGCGTAGGTGGTATTTGTACGGTTTAACCATACAACCCAGTCACCTTGGTGTTTATAAGCAGCATCTCTCTCCTTCAGTTTCCAGACAAGGCTGCCATCAATCCACGGTTTTTGATTCGAATACGTTTTGAAAGACGCCATTGGTATCACATCTATGCGTTTCAAAACAGTCTTGGAGCATGGATTCTGGTTGGTCAGACCAGCGCTGTACAGACCTGAACACCAGAACTTCCCCCTTGAGTCTTTGTAGGTGGGAAGGAGCAAAATGAAGGCCTGGTCATATTTGCCGAAAGGAGGACGGGAGATGGCCTTACACCCATGTCAAAAAGGTGCGTAGCAGTGGTCCAGCATAGAACCTCTGCGAGTTGGACAGTCAGTCAATGTGTTGATAGTAATTCGGGACCACTTTCTCAAATTACACTGAGCAAAAGGTATGTGGACACCTGCTCGTCGAACATCTCATTCCAAAGTCATGGGCATTAAATGGAGTTGGTCCCCCCTTTGCTGCTATAATAGCCGCAACTCTTCTGGGAAGGCTTTCCACTAGATGTTGGAACATTGCTGCGGGGACTTGCTTCCATTCAGCCACGAGCATTAGTGAGGTCAGGCACTGATGTTGGGCGATTAGGCCTGGCTCGCAGTCGGCGTTCCAATTCATCCCAAAGGTGTTTGATTGGGTTGAGGTCAGGGCTCTGTGCAGGCCAGTCAAGTTCTTCCACACCGATCTCGACAAACCATTTCTGTATGGACCTCACTTTGTGCACGGGGGCGCATTGTCATGCTGAAACAGGAAAGGGCCTTTCCCAAACTGTTGCCACAAAGTTGGAAGCACAGAATCGTCTATAATGTAATTGTATGCTGTAGCGTTAATATTTCCCTTCACTGGAACTATGGGGCCTAGCCCGAACCATGAAAAACAGCCCCAGACCATTATTCCTCTTCCACAAAACTTTACAGTTGGCACTATGTATTGGGACAGGTAGCGTTCTCCTGACATCCGCCAAACCCATTCTACTGCCAATGTTTGTCTATGGAGATTGCATGGCTGTGCTCGATTTTATACACCTGTCAGCAACGGGTGTGGCTGAAATAGCCCACTCCAGTAATTTGAAGGGGTATCCACATACTTTTGTGTGTGTATGAACGCAACATGTAATGTTGGTTTCATGAGCTGAAATATAAGATCCTAGAAAATGTCCATACACACAGCTTATTTCTCTCAAATTTGGTGCACAAATTTGTTTACATTCCTTTTAGTGAGTATTTCTCCTTTGCCAAGATAATCCATCCACCTGACTGGTGTGGCATGTCAATGAACTGATTAAACAGCATGATCATTACACAGGGGCACCTTGTGCTGGGGACAAAAGGCCTCTCTAAAATGTGCAGTTTTGTCACAACACAATGCCACAGATGTCTCAAGTTTTGAGGGAGCGTGCATTTGGCATGCTGACTGCAGGAATGTCCACCAGAGCTGTTCCCAGGGAATTGAATGTTCATTTCTCTACCATAAGTCGCCTCCATCGTCATTTTAGAGAATTTGGCAGTGCGTCCAAACGGACTCAACCGCAGACCACGTGGATGGCGTCATGTTGGGTTATGGTATGGGTAGGCATAAGCTACAGACAACGAACAAAATTGCATTTTATCGATTGTAATTTGAATCCACAGAAATACCATGACGAGATCCTGAGGCCCATTTCTTTTAAGGTATCTGTGACCAACAGATGCATATATTTATTCCCAGTCATGTGAAATCCATAGATTAGGACCTAATTTATTTATTTAAATTGACTGATTTTCCTTATGAACTGTAACTCAGTAAAAATCTTTTGAAATTGTTGCATGTTGTGGTTATATTTTTGTTCAGTATACTTTTGTTGAAGTCCCCCGTGACAATGAATGCTGCCTCCGGGTACGGGGTCTCCAGCTTGTTCAAGGTCCAATGAAGATCTTTTATATTTTTGGTTTCTGCTTGGGGTGGGATCTATACAGCTGTGGCGATAATCCCTGAGATCTCTATCTCTCAGAAGGTAAAAAGGGTGACATTTGATGATCAAGTATTCCAAGTCGGGTGAGCAGAAGTTCCTGTAGATTTCCCAATTACACCACTTGTTATTGGTCATAAAGCAGAGCCCTCCGCCTTTGTTCTTGCCAGAGAGCCCTCTTCCTATCTGCTGATGAACTGTAAAACCCGCTGGTTGTATATAATCTGTATGTATACCAGGGTGCAAAGGTACACTGGCTCTGATTGGTCAAAAGCTATTTTTTCTGATTGTATTATTTCACATAGTAATACAGTTGAGGCAGCATGAAATCAGTTCTTCATTCTTAGTAATGATTAGGTATTTACACTGTATTTGACAAGGTAAGGAATTAGCTGTTATGAGGAACTGTGATATATGTTTTTATTTATATACAGTGGTAGGCAGAATTTAAGAATTTAATCTGAATGCATTCCAATTTTCCTCCCAAACTTTAAAAACTAACATGTAATTTTCAGTGAATGAAAACATTGGGGATTATTGTCTGACATCTCTGGTTGGTCATGTATTGTAGGTGATGGAGAGGAGTGCATGGAGGAAAGCACTGGAGGAAGGCCACTATGAACTACTGAGCCCTGAGTTAAAGGAGAATGGTGTTGGGAAAGGCGAGAACGGTGACGTGGAGAAAATGGAAATAAATGATAACTTGAAAAAAAGACAGGTAAATGCTGTACATTCACTGCATCATGACCTGAATTGTGTACTACTCTCTGTCATATTGTGCACCAAGAGGTTAGCTAGATATAATGAATGGTTACATTGATGAATTATCTTTACGTCTGATAAAAATACATAGCTACCATATACTTAAATGGGTTTGGTGTTTGTTCATGCTATATATTTTATCTGCAAAGTACACTATACAGTGCATTCAAAGTATTCAGACCCCTTGACATTTGCCACATTTTGTTACGTTACAGCCTTAATCTAAAATGGATAAGTAGTTTTTTTCCCTCATCAATCGACACACAATACCCCATAATGACAAAGCAAAAACAGTTTTTTTTGACGTTTTAGCAAATGTATAATAAAAAAACGATTGAAATATCACATTTATGTAAGTATTCACACCCTTTACATTCATAGACTTGTCCCGAAGCCACTCCTGCGTTGTATTGGTTGTGTGCTTAGGGTCGTTGTCCTATTTTAAGGTGAACCTTCGTTCCAGTCTGAGGTTCTGAGCGCTCTGGAGCAGGTTTTCATCAAGGATCTCTGTACTTTGCTCCGTTCATCTTTCCCTCGATCCTGACTAGTCTCCCAGTCCCTGATGCTGAAAAACATTCCCACAGCATGATGCTGCCACCACCATGCTTCACCCTAGGGATGGTGCCAGGTTTCCTCCAGACGTGACGCTTGGCATTCAGGCCAAAGAGTTCAATCTTGGTTTCATCAGACCAGAGAATCTTGTTTCTCATGGTCTGGGTGTCTTTAGGTGCCTTTTGGCAAACTCCAAGCGGGCTGTCATGTGCCTTTAACTGAGGAGTGGCTTCCGTCTGGCCACTCTACCATATAGGCCTGATTGGTGGAGTGCTGCAGAGATGGTTGTCTTCTGGAAGGTTCTCCGATCTCCACAGAGGAACTCTGGAGCTCTGTCAGTGACCACCGGGTTCTTGGTCACCTCCCTGACCAAGGCCCTTCTCCCCCGATTGCTCAGTTTGGCTGGGCGTCCAGCTCTAGGAAGACTTGGTGGTTACAACACTTACTACTGAGTTTGAAACAGTCTCGGGTAAGCAACGTCAGCACAATAACTGTTCGTCTGGAGCTTCATGAAATGGGTTTCCCTGGCAGAGCAGCCGCACACAAGCCTAAGCAACCGCACACAATGCCAAGCATCGGCTGGAGTGGTGTAAAGCTCGCCACCATTGGACTTTGGAGCAGTGGAAACGCGTTCTCTAGAGTGATGGATCGCGCTTTACCATCTGGCAGTCCGACGGACGAATCTGGGTTTGGCAGATGCCAGGAGAACACTACCTGCCCCAATGCATAGTGCCAATTTCAAAGTTTGGAGGAGGAATAATGGTTTGGGCTAGGCCCCTTAGTTCCAGTGAACATAAATCTTAACACTACAGCATTTAATTACATTCTAGACAATTCTGTGCTTCCAACTTTGGCAACAGTTTGGGAAAGGCCCTTTCCTGTTTCAGCATGACAATGCCCCTGTGCACAAAGCGAGGTCCATACAGAAATGGTTTGTCGATCGGTGTGGAAGAACTTGACTGGCCTGCACAGAGCGATGACCTCAACCCCATCAAACGCCTTTGGGATGAATTGGAACGCCGACTGCTAGCCAGGCCTAATCGCCCAACATCAGTGCCCGACCTCACTAATGCTTGTGGCTGAATGCTGCGTGGACCTGCTTCCAATGTTCCAACATCTAGTGGAAAGCCTTCCCAGAAGAGTTGCAGCTGTTATAGCAGCAAAGGGGGGACCAACTCCATATTAATGCCCATGATTTTGGAAATGAGATGTTCGACAAGCAGCTGTGTCCAGAAAGCATAGGATCAGTAAAAAAGCATCTCTTTCTTCTTCACCATGTGCAGGTTACAGGTTTCATTGGTCAGGTTACAGGAGCTTAGCTCAGCTATAGGTTAGCTAGATATAAGGAATATGGTTACATTGAGTTAATTGAGAAAAGGCGTAGGTACCAGACATGTACAAATTTGATGTTTGAATAGAGAAGCTCATGTCCTCAAATGGCAACAGCTGGTACAATAAGACTTTCAAATTCCACATAGCTTTCTATTTTCTTTACTCTATAATTATTTTATCCCCACTATCTTTGACTCCCAGAGGAAGCGAAGTCTAAGTTTAACACCATCTCTCTCAACATGTCTGCTCCATGTTGTTACAGGTTACAGGTGTCATTGTTCAGGGTACAGGAGCTGAAGGGGGAGTGTATGAGCGCTGCCTCCACCAGCCCCAGCACCCCTCAGCTGGTCAACAACACTGTCCACTACCTGGCTCAGGCCCTGGCCCACATCCAACAGGGAATCGAGAGGAAGTTCCTCAAGGCTCCGCTGGGTAGGCCAGCAAAACTCACATAACACCTTCCTGTAGAGAAGCGGTGTTGTCCCTATGGCACCCTATTCCCTTTATCAGTGCACCATTTTTGACCAGAGCCCATAGGGAATAGGGTGTCATTTTGGGCGCAGTGTGCACACTTAAATCATTGTGAATTGTAGTAACTTTGAGATCCAGATTGAGACTATTCCTGGAAGAAAAAATGTCAATTGAGACTCTCTAATGCTTTTTAGTCCAAGTTTAGGTCAAGCTTTTGGTGACAGAGACCTTTCAGAGCATCTCATAACAGACCTTAACTGCAAGCCTGGCAGGGAATAAGTGGCACCTGTGATTTAATGTGTGCTCAGACCTGTATTTTTCACACACTAAACTGGTCATTAGAAAGGTCCATGCTTATTACATAGAAAGGTCCATGCTTATTACATTTTAGTGTTTAGAGCTGTTAATTATATGCTTGACGTGCAAATTGGTATCTCTTGTGGACTGTCATGGCAAACCAGTGCCTCACCTTTATTATGTTATCCCCTCAACAGGAGATGAAGACTCTAAAAAGGACCAGAAGGCAAAGAAGAAAGACAAGAAGAAAGATGAGGATCAAAGCAGTGAAGGTAAGGATGATGAAGGCATAACGGATTTGATGGTCACCCTCTACCCGGTCTCTTTTGCTGTGTGTGTGTGTTACCTCAATGAGACTAACCTCAAATAAGAACAATATAATAACACAATATGTACACTGTGTACAAAACATTAGGAACACCTTTCTAGTATTGAGTTGCACTCCCTTTTGCCCTCAGAACAGCCTCAATTCGTCAGGGCATGGACTCTACAAGGTGCTGAAAGCGTTCCACAGGAATGCTGGCCCACGTTGACTCCAATGCTTCCCACAGTTGTGTCAAGTTGGCTGAATGTCCTGTGGGTGGTGGACCATTCTTGATACACACAGGAAACTGTTGAGTGTGAAACCCAGCAGCGATGCAGTTCTTGACACTCAAACCGTTGCGCCTGGCACCTACTACCATACCTCGTTCAAAGGCAGTTAAATATTTTCTTGCCCATTCACCCTCTAAATGGCATACATTCACAATCCATGTCTCAATTGTCTAAAGGCTTAAAAAGCCTTCTTTAACCTGTCTCCTTCCCATCATCTTCACTGATTTTGAAGTGGATTTAACAAGTGACATCAATAATGGATCATGGCATTCACCTGATCAGTCTGTCATGGAAAGACAGAGCTGGTGTTCCTAATGTTTTGTACACTCACTATATGTCTGTCCCCTCTCCCCTCAGGTGGCTGTGACAGTGGTGGGTTGGTGAAGACTATTGACTAGTGTTGTAGATGATGGAGAGGAATGCTCCATCCTATGATATGTCTGACTATGTTTCTGACCCTCTCAGGAGGTAGTGACAGTGGTCGGGTGGTGAAGACTGTCCAGGAGCGTTGGATGGAGTCTCTGCTGGGCTGTTCCAGCCTGTCCCAGGTCTTCCTCCACCTCTCCACCCTGGAGCGCAGTGTCATCTGGGCCAAGTCTCTACTCAATGCCCGTTGTAAGGTCTGTCGCAGGAAGGGAGATGCAGAAAACATGCTCCTGTGTGACTGTTGCGACAGAGGACACCACATCCACTGTGTCCGCCCCAAACTCAAGGTAGGATGGATTATGCTTTTCTTCACACATGGGGTTGGATGACGTCAACCTTTGTGCTATGGTGATTAGGTACCCATAAAACATTTTGATATATGATGGTATCGCCCCCTATTGGTCAACCAGTCATGTCTTGTTTTTTTTTACGATGGCTGAAAAGGACAGCTAGCGCAAACTCATGCTACAGGAGGGGTGAGGGGAATCATGGCAAAATATATTTTTGAGCCATTTTATTTTATAGCATATTCCTCTCTGTTGGAGCTGTGGCATGACTGAGGTGTGTGTCTGGCTGTAGCGTGATGGGGTTGTAAAATCATGAAGGGGCCAGCTGCAGAGCATGCAACTCTGCTGTCCCCAGAACTGGATAATATTCAATGATTTGCATCTTCCTTTCATTAGGCCTAGGCTTCTATATATTGTAGGTAGGTTGAAGCCTACATAGCCAATGATAAGCTATGGAAATGTGCCTACTCTACACATTTCTTTCATAAGCTTTGCTCAGCTGTACTTAAAAAATATATTTTTAACTTCTCATTAGGTTTTTCCATTTTGATATTGTTTGGTCAATTTCACTTCTTGTTGCCTGAAATGTCATTCAAAATAAAGCTGTGATACAGAATCACCCATAGACAGACTTTCACAATTGTTCCTTTTTGACAGCTGCAAATTTAGGACATTAAACACTTTTAGAATAGCCTATTTGGGAAATACTCTACTTAACTTTAACTTGTCTTAATGCTTTGATAGGCTATTTTAATTAGGATTGAGCTTTTGGCTGTTTTGGTTCACAACGGCACGGAGGGAAGCATGCTTTTATGTTTTGCTCAACTGTAAGGTTTGTTCAAACTACTCGTTATGTTTTTTTATCTTGCTATTGTTCGTTCTACCTCTCTCATTATTACCTTAGGCCTGTCGTTTTTAGGTTGTATGTATTGATATGTAGGCTAAGTGTGCCTTTTGAGGTACATATAAATAAATAAATAAATAAATAAATAAATTGGTCATTTAGCAGACGCTCTTATCCAGAGCGACTTACAGGAGCAATTAGGGTTAAGTGCCTTGCTCAAGGGCAGGTCGCTGGTTCTAATCCCAGAGCCGACTAGGTGAAAAATCTGTCAGGTAGGGGTAAAGTGACTAGGTAACAGGATAGAGTACAGTAGCATCAAATGTCTGCTGCAGAGGGACAAGGGAGCCATGAGAAAACGAGTTACCAGTCAGTCAACTTCGGTACAACATACTATGAGTGGCATTCTCTAGACTTCGGTTGAAGGATCTACAATTACACCTGACAAGGACAAAGAAATCCACGCCTCGCTGGAAGCCCCGCCTTCCACAGATAAGAGGCTCGGATTCATTCCTTCAATCATTCCACACTTTACCTCGATGTGAACAGGAACGATTCACTCTACTAAAACAAACAACTGGATTGTACATTGTACCAACTAAACTGTCCCATAGTGGTAGAGCGTGCTCACCCCATGGACGTTGAGTGCTGAAGGTTGTACTTGTGCTCATAAGTTTTCTAATCACAAACAATTAGTTATTCTTCAGTTTGTTGGTGCAATGAGTAAGATGGCTAAGAAAACGACCGCAAAGACTATGGCTAAGCCAGGTTCGGGGTCGAGATCATGCCCCCTGTCATAGGGTTATAGCATTTCTCTGAAAGCTACTCGTGCTCTGTGTAGTTTGTCTCTGCTTGGAGCACGCTCAGGCGGCCCTCGCTCGAACCAGTCTGTGTGCGCATTGCCACGTACTGCGCACAAACTCGCTGGAAAGACGTGTAGAATTCTTCGACTTTGCTTTTCCGGGTGCCGGTACCTTGACTGGGACAGAGGTGCAGGAAGTGTAGATGGATTGGGTGGCCAACGCAAATATCTTGTCTGCCTGGGCGTGGGGCATGCAGTGGCTGCCTACGCCTAACCCCTCTCCGGTGAGCTCTGTCGCTGGTTATGGGAGGCTATTTGAAGAGAGCGAGCAGAGCGGCCAGGGACCTCCCCGCCGCCCGTGTGCCTCGGTCAAGCACCACTTGTTTCTCTTCCTAGACTTGTTGATGAAGGGTCCGGTCCCATCTCGGTGAGCCGGTCCTACGTTGACTTTCAAGACCGGGCTAGCTAAACGAGCGCTGCATAGCGTGCTAGCATTTTTAGCAATTACTAGCTATTCCTGCCTCACCACGGTGTTGCTGGGGTAGCGTTCTTGTTTAGTGTATGTAGCGTTAAGTCGCTTGCGTGTTCTATACATTTTTTTACCCTCATTCTCCCAATTTTCAATTACGATCTTGTCTCATCGCTGCAACTCCCCAACGGGCTCAGGAGAACCGTGCTCCTTAACACCCGCCAGCTTAACCCGGAAGCCAGTCGCACCAATGTGTCAGAGGAAACACCGCTCAACTGGCGACCAGGGTCAGCCTGCAGGCACCTGGCCCGTCATAAGGAGTCGCTAGGGTGCGATGAGCCAAGTAAAACCCCATGGGCAAAACCCTCCCCTAACCTGGACGATGCTGGACCAATTGTGCGCCGTTCTATTGGACTCCCGGCCACGGCTGGTTGTGGCACAGCCCAGGAATTAATCTGGGTCTAGAGTAACGCCTCGAGCACTGCCTTAGACCACTGCGCCACTCTGGAGGCCCTCACTTGCTTATTCTAAACAGACCGTGCTGCGGTCAGAGGCTAGCTAGCCTAGTTTATGCTAAAAAGCCTCCTGGCTAACGTTGGCTAGCGTACTTAACTTCCGGCGAGTGAAACTTACTAGCTTTCCCCCGGCGTTATGGCAACCCCATTCCTATTTTCAGTTTCTGGAGTTGGAGGGGGTGAAGGAAACTGGGTTTGCGTGCTCCTCCGATGAAGCAGCCCCCTGAGCACTTGCCTGGGGTAACCCCCGGAGCAAGTGGCCTTGGCACGTGTCGGAGTGACCAGTGTGTCCCTCTGCAAAAACACTACTGTGACAAGTGCCCCCACGTTTGGCAAACTGGGTACTATGTCAGCCATTGCCAGAGCCCCCTGTGCCCGTGAAGGGGCCGGCCTTCATGCAGGCTATACAGTCTCATGGCAGCACAACGTATGTTGGAAGCTTGTCCATATTTAATGCTGCCCCCACTTTCCACGGTGATCACAGGGTTGAAGGGGTAATAAAATCTCCCCAGTGTGAGAGTGACTAGTTGTCACTGTCTACAAGGGGGTGCCCCTTCCCCATAGGGTTCTCATTGCTGATTCCTGCCTAGCTGACTAGTCCCTATGAGGTGTCTAGTGATACAGCTTATGTGCTCTATAGGCGGTTAGTTGTTTGTAGTCGAGGGAACAAGCAGGGTTGGACAACCACTCTTTTATCCCACACGCAGTCTCTGTGGTTCATATGAGCCCCCAAATGAGCTGTCTGTCTCCAGCTCAACACTTTTAATTCCTGGGAATTAGATTCAATTACAAATCGCCCTGTCTGTTACAACAGAAGGGGTCCGTTTTTCAGAGCCGTCTGTCCCATTACCAGCTAGGTTACAAGGCACATTGTTGCCGGTACGTCTATTTTTAATGCGTGCGGTCCAGCGCTGGGTGCCAGCTGGTTACCGTAACGAATTTTACCGCCTAAACCGACTCGTTGTGACAACTGTACCCCCAAGTTGCACGGCCAATGGGAGTATGTCACTCATCCCTGGAGCCCATGTACCCAGAGTGAGCCGGGCTTTAGGCAAACCTTGGCAGAACATTTTCCAACCGAGTTCCACAGTGTTCACGGGTGTTAAATGTTGTGTTCCTTCTCCATGTTCAGACATGGTTGTCAAGAGTGGTGGAAATGGAAGAAGAACCAGTCTCGCTGTCTGCTCTGACCAATGGCGCACATGCGCAGTGTCGCCCTGGAACATGCGATCAGTGACGTCAGGGTACAGGCTACAATTTGTTGCGCGTCCCCAACACTTCTACAGCGTCATCACGTCGACTGTTCCCGAGGCCTCAGTGCCCGTTCTGAGGGAGGAAATATCCTCCTGTCTCCAGAAGCAGGCAATCCGAGTGGTTCCTATGTCGAAGATCTGGGACTGCTGGTATTCCTGGTTACAAAAAGGGATGGGACTTTGCGTCCCATTCTAGAACTTCGTGCTCTCAGCAAGCACCTCAGTCTACAAACTCAGATTGCTCACGAGCCGCCGGCTATTACAGCGATTGGCTGGTGGCGGCGGAGTCGAGGGGACAAGCAGTGCTACCTACCTACCTACCTACCTACCTGTCTGTATTTAGTCTCTAGGGTTCATAACAAACCACAAAAAGAGCTGTCTGACGCCATCTCAGTGCATTCCGTTTCTGGGTCTCCAGTTACACTCACTCATGTATCATTATTTTCTATCACCACAGAGGGTGTTCTGGCTCTGCTTAGAAAAAGTTGTGCGTTTTTGCAGTGCTATGGCCACTGTGGATGATGGCTTCTGTGATGGAAGTCGTTCCCTGTGGGGCTATTGTTGATACGGCCCTTCCAGCGCTAAATGCTAGCTACTCACTTGGATGCATCTCGCAGCCTAAGCCGATCTCTTCGGGTGTCCTTGTCAGGCCTACAGGCCATGGCCCAGTGGTGGGACCCTTTGCTATTGTCAGGGGGCTCCCATGGGCTGAGATGTAACCCGCAAGTTGATCACGACCGACGCAAGGTGGGATGCGCTGTACAAAGGCAACTCGATTCGAGGGTATGGACACTGGTGCGAAGCGCACTACTGTTTTTGTTGGGCCGGCTTGTGCTGGTCAGAACCGACTCAGTGGTGGCGTGCATCAACTGATGGGCAGAGACTCTCTCTCTCGCTCTCCCTCCTAACCTTGGCTCACTCAATTGCTTGGATGCAGTGTGCACATGCGTTGGGTGATGCATGTCCCCGGTTGCCTCAACTCTGGTGCAGATCTTTTATACAGGTGGGACCCTCTCTCAGGATTGGAGGCTCTCCCAGGTATGGGACATTTTCAGCAAGGCCGATGTAGGTCTTTAAGCATCGCGAGGACACTGGCGCACCAATGGCCTCGGATCCTCCTTTAAAACGCTTCTGCCAGTGGTTCTGATTCGGCCCACATTGCAGTGGGTTCGCCAAGGGGGGCTTAACATTGATTCTTGTGGCTCCCCGTTAGCAGAGGCAGACTTGGTCGCACAGAGAATTTGCCTTTTAGGCGGGGACCCGTAGAAACTCCCGTTGCGCAGGGACCTGTTGTCCCAGGCGCACTGGCAGGATTGGTAAGCGAGGCCAGAGATTTGGTTCCTATAGGCCTGGCCCCTAAGATGGCCAGTCTGATAGCTAGAGGTTTACCTCCCGAAGGTTATTGATACCATTTCCATCTGCAAGGGCGCCCTCCACGAGAGGACTGTATCCGTATAAGTGGCAAGCATTTGAACTCTGGTTCCAAGATAAAGGACTTGTTCCTTTTCAGTGCTTTGTGAGGGATATCCTTATGTTCCTACATGAGCTTTTCAAGCATTCTCCACTTTAAGTGTACATGGCCGCTGTCTCAGCGTGTCATGTGGAAATTGATGGAACACCACCGGGGACTCACTCCCTGGTGGTGCGGTTCCTGAAAGGTGTGCGTTGTCTCAGACCGGTCTCTCTAAACCTATTGCGCCCACATGGGACTTGGCGCTGGTTTTGGAGGCATTGTGCGGCCCCCTTTGAGCCTCTGGAGTCGGTGGATCTGACGATCCTCTACAACAAAACCTACCTGCTCATGGCTTTGGCCTCGGCTAAACGTATTGGGAACCTCTGCGTATTCCGTACACCCTTCCTGTACTCAGTTCACGGCAGGGTGTTCTCTAAGCAGCGTCTCTCCCACTGGATTGTGGAGGATGTATCTCTGGCATATAGCAGCAAGAGGTAAGGGTTACCTAACGGTGTATGTGTCCCACTCCACCATGGGTCTGGCAGCGCCTTGGTCGTTGTTTAAAGGGTTGACTATAGGAGATACTTGTGCTGCATCGAGTAGAGCATCACCACACACTTTTGTGAGGTTTTATCGCTTGGATGTCACTACTTCCAGCATAGCACAGTGTGCTTACAGCTGGGACAGGGGAAAGTCACTAGGCAGCTCACCATAATCACAATACCCGCATCTGGCAGGGTCAGGTCTGGGTGGTCTGCATGGCCCGTTTTAATTTAGTATCCATTGGGGTTGGCTTTGGGCGTGATTATATTTCCCAATAGTATGTTTTACCGAAGTTGACTGACAAATAATCATAATGTTACATTCTCTAACTACGGTTCCCTGAAGGAGGGAAACAAGGTACAACACCTGTTTTGGACCTGCACTGCCAGTTCCTGGGCTCTATGAAGAGCGGTATTTAAATTAAAGGAATTAATCCAAGCCTCGCGCTTTTCACCTTTTGGAAGGTGGGACTTCCAGCGAGGCGCGGGTTTCATTGTCCTTTTCAGGCGTGATTGTAGATCCTTTGACCTAAGTCGCGCGAGTGTGGCTCCCCATAGTATGTTTTACCGAAGTTGACTGACTGAAAGGGAACAGTAGTTATAGTCACAGCGTTACGTTTTGATCAGTCATGGAAATAAGTGCTGAAAACAAATTGGCTCCCTATTTAAAAAGATGGAAAACAAGCTATGAAGTAAAAGAAAGTACTGGAGTTTTGGTGCAGGTACAGTCAACTAGCGCCAAAATCATATTGCAACATTGTCCCCATATGTAACTATCTAAACCTCTCCTTTGCTTTATCTATGTTGTGTCCAGGCTGTCCCAGAAGGGGACTGGTTCTGCCCTGAGTGCCGTCCCAAACGGCGAGCCAACCGCCTCACCTCCCGCCAACGCTCCTCTGTCGACTCTGAGGAAATAGAGGAAGAGGAGGAGTCAGAGGAGGAAGTGGAAGAAGAATCAGAGGAAGAGGAATCAGAGGAGGAAGAGACTGAGGAAGAAGAGAAGAGGTGTGTTTTGAGCGTCACTATACTTGTAATTGTGTTGATAGTAAATGACCTTAAAATAAAAACAACCCAACGTGTTTATTCAAATATCTGAAGTTTCCCTCCCTCAATTCCGTCTCCCTCTTCTCCTCTAGTGTCACTAAAAAGGGCCGGACTGCTGTGAAACCTCCTGTGCCTACTACCAAAGGCAGTCGGTCGAATAGCCGGACCACCAGCAGCTCAAGTCATTCCACTCCCCGGAGCCAGCAGACTACACCCAAACAGCCCCTCTCGGCCGGGAAGGGAGCCTCCGCCAAGTCCTCAGGGAAGAAGCCCACCCCAGTCTCCAACGGCAGACGCCCACCACGACCAGGCAGCAGAGTCAGCTCCCGGCTCAGTCATGAGATACTGGCCACCAGCGGTACCTCCAGCAGGACAAGCAGCCAGCCTACTCCATCTCCCTCTCAGGCAGACTCCCGTAGAAGACCCATCTCGGGTAAGACCAGTTCTGCAAAATGTTTCTGTACAGAAGCGTTTAATTAATTTTCTCATGTACAGTGCCTTCAAAGTATTCATAACCCTTGACTTATTCCATATTCTGTTGTTTTATAGCCTGAATTCAACATGGATTTAAATGTTGTTGTTTTTTTCTCTACCCTCTCTAAACAGAATACCCCAAAATGACTAAGTGAGAACATGGTTTTTAGAAATGTTTGCAAATGTATTTAAAATGAAAGTGTTGTCAATAGGGCTGTGCGATATGGCCTAAAAAATCATATTAACATTTGTATTTATTAATGGCCGATTCACAATTATTATTTTTCTCTAAATAAGCTTTGTTGTACAATTAAAGGTAAAATACACTGCATTTCAAACAGTCAGAATTAATGCAATGAATACAGGGCTTGTGAAATTATACTTGGGATTAATATGTAAGCCTTCAACAATCATAAGACCGACTAATTATTTTATCAAAATAGTTTAACCTGCTTTTTTGCAATAATCACTCATCTGGCTTTCAAGTCTGTCTATGAAAATTCCCCTTTTGTTACAAATTTTACCAGAACCATGCATAATGCACATTCACTTCTGGTAGCAGGCATAATAGAAAATGAACACAGGTCTCATAGACAATGTCTTAAGATCAAGCCCACGTGCTAGTGAGTAACCAGCTAATCTTTATAGGAATCTTTATTTAAAGTTTAGCCAACTTGAATCTATTTTCTAGCTATTTACAGGTAATTGTTATGAACACACCCTTCTGTCAGTCTCCAACTATTTGAAGAGCATGCAAGCCTGTCCACTTTGTTCAGATGTTGAAATCAAGTGGCCTACCTTATTTCTCAGAATGAGAAAAAGTTGCCAATTCCTTATATAATTGTTGTATGCTTATTGCACATTTTATAAAACACAGCTAGTATAACAGTCTTTGGCTAAAATGCTGCTAGCGGTATGTGGCGTGCCACAAACTGAGCATTCATTTTCCAGAATCAATGTTCATTAATACTCCTGTTTTGGTAGTCTGCTCTGTGTGGTATTTGAGCAATTGAGACATAAAAAGGGTATTGTTAAAAAGGTTAACTTCTCTATTACTGTGTGTGTGTTTGGAATACCGCGCAAAAACATACATTTCAATTAATTCAAAAAATCGCCCAGCCCTAATTCACACCCCTGAGTCAATACATGTTAGAATCACCTTTGGCAGTGATTACAGCTGTGAGTCTTTCTGGTTAAGTCTAAGCGCTTTGCACACCTAGATTGTACAATATTTGCACATTATTCTTTTAAAATTATTCAACCTCTGTCAAGTTGGTTGTTGATCATTGCTAGACAGCCATTTTCATGGCGCCATAGATTTTAAAGTAGATTTAAGTCAACTGTAACTAGGCCACTCGAACATTTAACGTCATCTTGGTAAGCAACTGTAGTGTATATTTGGCCTTGTATTTTAGGTTAGTTCATTTTTCAGAAGGACAATAATCTTCCAGTGTCTGGTGGAAAGCAGACTGAACCAGGTTTTCTGCGCTTAGCTCTATTTCGTTTCTTTTAATCCTAAAAAACTCCCTAATCCTTGCTGATGACAAACATACCCATAACATAATGCATCCACCACTATGCTTCAAAATATGAAGTGGTACTCAGTGATGTGTTGGATTTGCTCCAAGCATAACACTTTGTATTCACTTTGACATTAAGTTAATTTTTTGGCCACATTTTTTGCAGTTTTCCTTTAGTGCCTTATTGCAAACAGGATGCATGTTTTGGAATATTTGTATTCTGTGTAGGCTTCCTTTTCACTCTGTCAATTAGGTTAGTATTGTGGAGTAACTACAATGTTGTTGATCCATCCTCAGTTTTCTCCTATCACAGCCATCAAACTCTGTAACTGTTTTAACATCACCACTGGCCTCATGGTGATATCCCTGAGCGGTTTCCTTCCTCTCCGGCAATGGAGTTAGGAAGGACGCCTGTATCTTTGTAGTGACTGGGTGTATTAATGCACCATCCAAAGTGTAATTAATGATTTCACCATGCTCAAAGGGATATTCAATGTCTGCTTTTTTTTTTTACCAATCTACCAATGGGTGTCCTTTGCGAGGCATTGGAAAACCTCCCTGGCCTTTGGTTGAATCTGTTTGAAATTCACGTTTCGACTGAGGGACCTTACAGATAATTGTATGTGTGGGGTACAGAGATGAAGTAGTCATTCAACACTATTATTGCATACAGTGAGTCCATGCAATTTATAATGTGACTTGTTAAGCACATTTTCACTCCAGAACTTATTTATGCTTGCCATAACAAAGGGGTTGAATACTTACCGACTCAAGACATTTCAGCTTTTCATTTTTTATGAATTTGTAAATATATCTAAACATAATTCCACTTTGACATTATGGGATATTGTGTGTAAGCCAGTGACACACAATCTCAATTTAATCCATTTAAGATTCAGGCTGTAACACAACAAAATGTGGAAAAAGTTAAGCGGTGTGAATACTTTCTGAAGGCACTGTAGCACTTAAGGGGTGTCTAAATTACACAACTTTCTTCTAGTTGAGTAATTTTTGGCCTTCTCACACAGTGCACATCTTTTGATATTCACAATCGTCTGCATCTTCTCTGTTTCTCCAGCAGAGGTCTCCCCCAAGCCCAAGCTGGTCCTGACTCCCTCTGTCTCAGGTTCTTTGACCAATCGCCGCAGCTCAGGGAGGAACCTGGGAGTCCATGAACTGTCTGCCTGCGAGCAGCTGACCGTAGAGCTAGTCAGACATGAAGACAGCTGGCCCTTCATGAAACTGGTGTCCAGGATACAGGTAATACATTCATTTTAAAGGTAGATTTCTATCTGTTCCAGCCTGGCACACAGAGCAACCCATACACGCATGCATTTAAAGACACACAGCATACACAAAGGCAGCGTTCCTATGAATACACTTTTTCCTATAACTAGCTACCTCACTAGGGACACCTACTCACTAGTGACGTCTAACTCAGGGGTTCCCAATCTTTTTTCCCAGGGACCCCATTTTTTCACATTTTGTCATTTCTTGTTTTAAGCTAATTTCCTACAATTCTATGTAGTTTAACAAGAATCATGACATTTTATAGTTAGGCTATTTAATGATAATGGATAAGGAAAATAAATCTAGATTCCATTTCCCCAAATTTTATTCCGCTACCAAATGTATTATAATTTATATGAACCCTCAATTTAATTATACATATTCTCTTTTACTAAAAATGAATAGATCAATTAATGGCGAGAGTCACACATTGTATAAAATTACTTCCCAGGCAAAGTACAATTTCTTAGATTCCTCGACTTTAGGTCGTAGCTCAGCTTCTGAATGTCAGAGATAAATCAAAGATATCCCCATATGCGTCGGTTGCGTCTTCTGGCATTTTAACGCATGTTTCTATTTATGCGTCGTTATAAATCCATAGATACAATCGCAACAAACAAAAAAAACTCAAATCAAGGAAGGTCCTGGTTGTTGGGTCAATTAGACCATGCTCATCTATCTAAAACATTGAATTATTTCACAATATTTTGGTAAGTTAGCTGGCTAAGTCATTGATCTTACTTTGTAGTAGGTGTTGGAACCAAATTTAATTTCCAGTCGTTTCGTTCTGAACAGAGCATTATTTTTTTTCGTTCTGTTACACTTTTCCGACCAGCAAAATATACAGTTGAAGTCGAAAGTTTACATACACTTAGGTTGGAGTCATTAAAACTCGTTTTTCAACCACTCCACAAATTTCATGTTAACAAACTATAGTTTTGGCAAGTCGGTTAGGACATCTACTTTGTGCATGACACAAGTAATTTTCCCAACAATTGTTTACAGACAGATTATTTCACTTATAATTCACTGTATCACAATTCCGTTGACTATGCCTTTAAACAGCTTGGAAAATTCCAGTAAATTATGTCATGGCTTTAGAAGCTTCTGATAGGCTAATTGACATCATTTGAGTCAATTGGCGGTGTACCTGTGGATGTATTTCAAGGCCTACCTTCAAACTCAATGCCTCTTTGCTTGACATCATGGGAAAATCAAAAGAAATCAGCCAAGACCTCAGAAAAAAAAATTGTAGACCTCCAAGTCTGGTTCATCCTTGGGAGCAATTTCCAAACGCCTGAAGGTACTACGTTCATCTGTACAAACAATAGTACGCAAGTATAAACACCATGGGACCACGCAGCCGTCATTCCGCTTAGGAAGGAGACGCGTTCTGTCTTCTAGAGATGAACGTACTTTGGTGCGAAAAGTGCATATCAATCCCAGAACAACAGCAAAGGACCTTGTGAAGATGCTGGAGGAAACAGGTACAAAAGTATCTATATCCACAGTAAAACAAGTCCTATATCGACATAACCTGAAAGGCCGCTCAGCAAGGAAGAAGCCACTGCTCCAAAACCGCCATAAAAAAGCCAGACTACGGTTTGCAACTGCACATAGAAATGTCCTCTGGTCTGATGAAACAAAAATAGAACTGTTTTGGCCATAATGACCATCATTATGTTTGGAGGAAAAAGGGGGATTCTTGCAAGCCGAAGAACACCATCCCAACCGTGAAGCACAGGGGTGGCAGCATCATGCTGTGGGGGTGCTTTGCTGCAGGAGGGACTGGTGCACTTCACAAAATAGATGGCATCATGAGGAAGGAAAATTATGTGGATATATTGAAGCAACATCTCAAGACATCAGTCAGGAAGTTCAAGCTTGGTCGCAAATGGGTCTTCCAAATGGACAATGACCCCAAGCATACTTCCATACTTCTTATTGTTATGACATGTATTATCTGAATTAGCCCCATAGAATTATACCTACGGAGGACCGGCTTCTATTAAGGAACTTTTAATGTCTTCAGAGTTGGTTTAATGTTGGACCAAAACTAGCTAGCTAACAAGCTTGTGTGTGCAGAGCTGCAATATATCACCATTTTGGGCAACCCGGTTTTCTACACCAGGTTCAAACAGTTGAAAATATAATATTTTTGGTTATGGAAAATATATTTCACAGCGGTTTAGATTCTCTACACTATACTTGCTTGTTTTGTCATAAACTGGAATTAGAATTTTAGCAACCGGGAAATGGCGGGGTGATTTCTACATAGTACACCTGTCTTACCATTTTGTAGTTAATAAATCTTATGTGAAACGTGATGACACTAGTATCCTTAACTAGCATTGAAAAAGTTAATCCATTGTTCTTTAATTAAAAATCTCTCCTTAATTTCTGAATCACGTTTGTAACGTCAGTAGTAGGCTAGTAGACTATGCTTCGGGAGGGGCAGGTAGCCTACGCACGCACACACAGTGGCAAAGATTTTCCACTGGCAGGCAGACTGGAATAAGAGTGAGGGCTTTGCTTAGGCGCTTTGTTGCGTTTTTATGTGCGACTGGGAAAAAAATGCCCGGAATGTAAAAGAACGTTATTAACCGGTTCCCATGCTTTTTAAATAACAGTTATTTTCCGGAATAGTATAGATCACTTTCGTTCCTGGTATTGATTCTGTTCCTCTAAAAAGTATTTTTTGTTTCTGTTCCCTGAACTGGTTCCAACCCCTGCTTTGTAGTATACCCTAGTGATGCGTGGGTTGACTCATAAACCTCAGTCCCCGCGGTTATATCTGCGGGGTGGGCGGGTTTACGGTCATGAAATATTGTGTGGATGAAGGGCAGGCGGGTTGAATAAAGAGAAAATAATGCAGTTCATATCTATTGTGCAGTTTATCTATAGGCTACATTAAGGTTTTTCTTTTGTTTTCATCTGGCGTTGGTGCCTAAGCTTTAGGGCCTAACTGTACGGGCAGCAAATACATGCCAATCTCCAAATGCTTTTGGGCACTTGGGCAGAAAAAGTTAACGTTGATCCACTGAGGCAAAAAGGGAAGGAACTACAGCGCATTTTCGATATTTGCGGGTCTGGTGCGGGCCTCAGATTCACTCGATCACATAGTCGAGCGGTTGCGGACGGTTTATTAATTGTGGGTGGGTGTGGGTGAACAAACAGCTGACCCTTGCATCACTAGTATACCCCTCTGATTTGTCTGTCCTCACTTCTGCAGGTTCCAGACTACTTCGACATTATCAAAAGGCCCATAGCTCTGAGCACTATCAGAGAAAAGGTCAACAACTGTGAATATAAAACAGCCAGTAAGTTGATGTTTTACTTTTACCTAAACCAACACAAAAGCTTGAACCATCTCCTTGTTTACTGTATATTGGATTGCATTTTTTTTATCAACCTGCAAAACAAGTTGTTTTATGCTGTCATGGTTCTGCACACCAGCAGATTTTAAATGATTTCTGATAGATAATATTTTTCCCCCTCCTATCTCACAGCGGAGTACATTGAGGACGTGGAGCTCATGTTCGCCAACTGTTTACAATACAACCCTCGGCACACGAATGAAGCTAAAGCAGGAGCAAGGCTCAAAGCCTTCTTCAACTCGGAAGTCTCTAATCTGGGGCTGGCAGACTGGACCACTCCTCCACAGAAGCGGTCCCGGATGTAAAGCTGTCTGACTGAAACTACTGGGTCGTATTCATTAGTGCACACCGTTGCAAGCGTTTTGCGACAAAAACAAGAGTTTGTTATTGGACACTTTTTCACCTTTTATTTTATCAGGGAGTCATGCTGAGACCAATGTTTATTTTACAGATGAGCCCTGAATTACAGAAAATACATACATCAATATAAATACAAAATGCAAGTAGAAAGAAAAACATGGTCATAATTCAGGTAGTCCCTCCGTTTCGCTCTGTTTTCTTCCATTTGGTTTCTATTGAATATGACAATGCATTGTAAAGTTTGAAGTCTGAACATTCCCAAACCGTTTTGAAATTGTAAATATCATACCCTCAAAATAAGGCAGGAACAACTATATCGCTGTGAAAGTATTTGCACTGAAATTTGAAAACAAGTCCTTTCTATTCTATTCACTCAGGGTAAACAAATTGTGGTGTGAAACGAGGTTTTAACAGTGCATTTATATTTTGTATCTTGGCAGCATTTCTAGACTACTATTTTTGTGCACATACTTTTTTTTTTTATGTGACTACTTTAGTTGATTTGGGTGAATAAAGTATTGAGACCTAATATGAACAGTTTAATTTTAGCATTTCACAATACTGAAAATATTTTACATCAACTGTTTCAGGTTCCCTTCTTTCAGTGAAACACTACACTGGAACCCAATATCATTTATTATTATTTCATATTTCCCTTATTTTCTATCATTCATTGGTTATTTATTTAGTTTTGAATGCAATAACTATTTATAATATTTCTATAGAACATGTTTTTGTGAAGAATTATTTGCGTAGTTTTGAGTTCAGTCTTTAGAAACTGTTTGGGATAGGGTTTAAATACTGAGTGTTGTCCCCCTAACTGTCAACTCTGCTTTGTATTTGCTATGGTGTACATTTTTCTATATATAAAAATACATTGACTTTGTTTAATATTTCTTGGTCATCTCTCCCTTTTTGTTGCCAATGTCTTCTAAATAATTGTGAAGTGTCTTAATGTTTTTAGGATAGGTGTACATTTTTTGTAGGGTTAGAAAAATAACTTGTAACGCTGCCTGCCTGGGTTAGCCAGAGTTGAGTGGAAGTCCGCAAGTCCTTGCTTAGCTTCATTGTCATCAGTATGTCACAGGACAAATTCCTCCTATCCCATTCCTGATCCCGCCCGCCTGAAGTCCAGTGGCTCATACTCGCTCGCCCCTTACCACCACCTTCTCGCTTGCTCTGTCCAACAGACCCGGTCGTTCAAACATTACCATATCTATTTACCCCAAAAGATTTAACCACATAATAGCAAATCGCACAGGACCGACGATCGGACAACATGGTAAGATGCTTTACTTTTATAGCTAGACGTTTGGTAGTTTCTAGTTCAGTGCAGATGTAACTTTTTGTAACTTTGTTGCACTGGGCTGTATTCGAGAAACGTTGCTTGCATACCAATGTTTGATTGCTGGTTACAGTTGAGTTGGACATTCCATAGTGGTTAGCTGTAGCTACGATGTTTGTTTCATGTTAAATAATATACCGTGATTTAATTTCTAAAATCTGTTCCAGGTTAGGATTGCTACAGGGCCTGCAGCCTAAGGCGGCCATTTTAACCTAATTATAGCGCAGTCCTCTATCTAACGGTAATTGCTCTACTGCCAGTTAGCTAAACTTTCAGATCATGAAGCCAAGTTGGCTTGCTAGCTAACGTTAATACCATTCCTGCTGGCAATCTCGTTTTCTACACTATATGCTACTGTACCTAGCTGGTTATAGATGATAAACAAAATGATTGGGACTAGATTCCTTGAAATGGTCTTGCAGGTCTCCTGTCCTGTTTGATTGCACTCGAGTCAGGCTAATAATGCGCCCATGCGGATTTCCACGCTTTTGTTCCCATACTAGCTAGTTTACTGCAGTGGGCCTTGACACATGCAAATGTTGCTAGACATGCAAAAGGTTACTGGACACAGTGCTAGCTAGTTTCTGGTCTCATTCACTGACAAAGTTGCTAGTGTAGTGGTCAGCGAGTCTCGTGCACTTTTGTGATAAGAGGGTTGTTAGCCAGTAACGTTACACCACAGTGTTGGAATGTCCTATTGCCACGGATTGGTTTTCTGGTCGGATTGTCATCTTCAATAGAGATGGAACACTTTGGGCAGCTGACATAGCCTATGTGGCATGCAAAATGACTCAGCAGGTGTGCTGGTAGGTAGTGTCCGAGTGGAAGTGTTGATTCATTGTAAATGAGTGGCAAAGGAAAGGAAGGCTATGATCAATGCTGCAGTCACTTGTTATTCTGTCTGCGTGACTCGTATTGGTAGCTAATGCTATAGCTACATACTATATGTGTAAAGGTTTGTTTTTTAAATACCTTCTCATAGAGACCTCAGGTAAAGCATTTCCTATCCCAATGCTCTTTAGCTATGGGTCTAGATTCAATGTCCACATAATAAAGAGGACATGATAATACCTGCAGTGTCTTAGCAGCATTGTGCCCTGTGTTTACTAGCTATTGAACAGGGTACAACCATATTGAAGGCTGCCATGTCATTCCCCCCCCCCTTTCCGCAGGCCTCTGGTGTCACTGTCAACGATGAAGTCATCAAGGTCTTCAATGACATGAAAGTGAGGAAGTCATCCTCTACCGAAGATGTCAAAAAGCGTAAAAAGGCTGTGCTGTTTTGCCTCAGTGATGACAAGAAGAAGATCGTTGTAGAGGAGGGCAAGTGGATTCTGGTTGGTGACATTGGGGAGTCGGTGGACGACCCATACGCCTGCTTTGTAAAGCTTCTACCTCTCAACGACTGCAGATACGGCTTATACGATGCCACATACGAAACAAAAGAATCCAAGAAAGAAGACCTGGTATTTATATTTTGGTACGTTTGAGTATTGTAAGCTATGGAGGACCATAGCTTGGTGGTCCCAGGTATAAAAAAGTTTGAGAAACACTGTCTTCGACTTTGGGTAAAATAGCTGCTGCTTTCATTTGTTTGGTATGGATTACAATGGAGAAGGACGTTATTAGTCTTATTAAACTGTTTCCCTCCTTATTCCAGGGCACCTGAGGGTGCTCCCTTGAAAAGCAAGATGATCTACGCTAGCTCTAAAGATGCAATTAAAAAGAAGTTCACAGGTGAGTGACAATTGTTATATCAAACTGCTATTCCTGTATGTTTGACCTGATATTGTATGATCTTGTTGTTCAGTCATTTGTTCAGGTGAATTTGCATACTTCTCGACAACTATCTTGTTAAAACTATTTTGTCTTTTTTACTGACATAAGTTATTTTCTTTCCCTATGTTCTATAAAAGTTTCATGACATTAGGCTTTAGCTATTGAAGTTATTCAAAACACCATTCAATTTGAACCCCATAGAAAGTTTAGAAAATGTGTGGTGTCAAACAAAATTCCCCCAGACACCACTGCAATTATTGAAAGGGCCTTGTTAGTATTCAACACAACAGTATAAAATAGATGAAAATCAGCTCTATACATCCCTTTTTTTCAGGTATCAAACACGAATGGCAAGTCAACGGATTAGACGACATCCAGGACCGCGCCACTCTGGCAGACAAGTTGGGAGGCAACGTGGTGGTATCACTCGAAGGGTTACCATTGTAAACTGAGAATAATACGTGCCATCTGGATTCCAGACGCTTTCACCTTAGCAGCTGTGTCTATATCATTTGATCCTAAAGGAATAGCTTTAGGCTTTTTTTTTTTTTCAGTTTTGATTTTTTTTTCACATGAAGGAGATCTCATTAACATATGCAAAAGCGTACAAGTTATTTTGCCAGCTGACTTCTTCAAAAAGATCCTGGTATTTTTTATTTTTTTCCTTCAAGGAATGTTCACATCAGGTGTTTTGCCAAACAAATATGTACAGCAGCACCACACTACCTGAGATTAATAACACTCCCACAACAAAAAGTTTAGCACTGTTTTTGCATTCTTTGCCACCTAAACAGTGATGACTAGATGCTCAGTAGCGTAGGAAAATGTGAACGCTTTCTATAATGCCTTGACAGTCATATTCACTGCCCAGGTTACAGCTAAAAGCAAGTATTTTGGACTAATGAGGTTTTTCATATGACTGACTTATTTATTTGAACTGTTCTATCGTATCCAATATGTTATTCGACATGGCAAAACACGTAATAAGACTATGCATATACAAAGCACTTTTTTGTTTATAAACTACAAGTTGAGAAAAAAGTTTAGAATAACTATAAAGAATATCTGTATTTATGTCAACTAGAGATGTTACCTCAGTTTTCATTCCTGTTATGCATATGGGCAAGAACAGATGAGTATTTGACTGTTCAATTGCCGCCTTACTTTCATTTGAATGTACAGTACACCACCGTAAAAAGGAGGGGTGGTGGTTGCAGTTTTTTTTAACGCTAAACAAAATAATTCAAACGTATCAGTAAAGATGGCAATATATGTGCATTTGGAGCATTAAGTGGAACATTGTTTTTGAGATCGGCCGAGGAGGTTGCCACTTTGCAATAAAATCTTGTGGCAGATAATAGAAAGAAGTGTTGTTTGTCTGAGTGTATCTGTTCATCAGGAGGGCTGGGAAGCCATAAAGAGATGCATTAATGATCTCCTCTAACAGGAAATAGAAAGATCTGGTCTATATGCTATGTTTTGCTATGTTGCCTTGGTTAGTGTTTTTTTCCATTAAAGCGGGTGCAGTGAGTAAGTGATAATCTTCTGGGCTCTGTTCAGAAGGGCAGCTACAACTTAACGGAACATTCTGGTATAAATATATTGTGTAGAATAGATGGTGTTCTATGTTGTGTAGAATAGGGAATAATTTCAGCTCTATACATTGTATTTTGAAACTCCAAATGGAAATATGGTGGTTTCCCTGATGCTTTTTATATCTGTCTACACTGTTTTGAGTGAAGCCAAGCTAGTAAGGCTATTTCTGTTATAGTACAGCAAATCAATAATGACTGATCTCCGATCATACTGTATGTCATTGTGAATTGGAGAACTGTCAACTTATATATTTTAAACATTTATAGATTAACTCATACACTTTCAACCTTAACTTAGAGAACTGCAGCTTCCCAAATTAATCTAAGCAACTTTTTGTACTCTCCATCTAAGTTTCAATGAACAGCCAGGCCGGTCTGGCCCTTCATTTGAACAGGGCCAAGTGTTTCTAGGAAAGAGCGAGTGGTGCGTCTTCTACTGCAACTGGGCTGGGGGCCAGGCCTGCTGCCTTCTCCCTGTAGAGAATTTGATCTGCAGGCAGTGAGCAATCCTCTGCTGGTCAGAGCTATTTATGGCCAACACATGCTTTTGTGTCTTGTCATCGTTGTCCACAAATGGCAAAACTGGACAAGCTTCCAATGCGCAACGAAAGGGAAGCCCTGGTAGAGGAGGAGAGCAGCAAGTTAGAGTATACACGCCCGCCGCTCGCTACCAAGAATGCTTTTCACACTCAAGGAACAGAATAGGAGAGGAGAGAAGGGAATGGAAAAAACACATAGAAGAAAGTCCTTAGTGTATTATTATAAGATGTTGTAAACCCCTGCTTATGGGGAGTATCTAACGCAACAGATGGCCCAGTCCTGTGACAGCTGAAATATATGGTGTAGGTTGGCCTTGGTGTCACACCGAATAGACTTCGAACAAGCTCTGATTGTATCTCTGGACTGACTACACTACAACTTAGTGAGCAACGAGTATTACCCATTGGTGTCCCCAGTGTCTGGAACATTGTCTGCTAGTCATGGTTCGGTAACCTAGTGGTTAAGAGCGTTGGGCCAATAACCGAAAGGCCGCTGCCTAGGTCGAAAATCTGGTGATATGCCCTTGAGCAAGGCAATCCTAATTGCTTCTGTAAATCGCTCTGGATAAGAGCGTCTGCTAAATGACTAAACATTTTAAAATGATATGAAACTGGCCTCAAGGATACTGCTGTATAACTTATCTTATACAGGCAAGTCACACAAACATGTCTATGGTGTAAAAGGTACTTTTGTCCTCCGAAGAGGATGGGCCAATAATAAAATAAAAATGTATGAGGGTATTATCAGACAAGGTCAATACATGTTATTCATTTTACTTTGTGACTTTTTGTTGAACTTTCAACTTCTACACACTGCCACATAAAGTGCATCAAGTAGCCTGGTGGAACCAGCCCTGTATCCTATGCTCAGGAATATCATTTATGTTGGTCTTAACTAGTCTAAAAATCATTTTAAATAGTCTAATCAATATATCCAATACATTAGTCAATTAACTATTTTCCTCTTCATTGGCAAATTCTATTAATGTTTCCCTACTGTGTCTCCATATGAAATATATTGTGTTGAATTTAGAATGTGGTCTCTTTATCAGAGCAATTCACGTAGACACCTACAGTACATGTAAGCCCATATACCTTCATGCACATGTTAAACAAAGTGCCTGTCATTCATGTCAACTCAGAATATGTCTCTGGACAAGTAAGATTAAAATGAACAAGTGACCAGTCCTTGCTCTCAACAAGATGAGCACAGCCAGCCAGCGCATGTAGCTTGACATTGAGTTATGATCATATGTTACAGTCATACACATCATTATAGTCAAATAATTATGTAATGATGAAAGGGCCTACAGTAGCTAGGTGTGTAGATCAAATCAAAGTGTATTTGTCACCTGCAAAGGATACAGCAGGTGTAAACAGTACAGTGAAATGCTTACTTGCAAGCTCTCCTCAACAGTGCAGTACATGTATACAAATCTAAATGACAAATATCAAAGTCAAAATATTAACAAGTAATAAAAAGTAGTAATAATAGTAATATAAAACTAGTTGTGGAGATTAAACGTATGTATCGTTATGAAGGAATAATTAGTGTTGTCACAGTTCTGCACCATGTCAAAACATATTTCTCAATTTTAAATGGCAAAATAAAACAAGCCATTTTGATGCTGTGATTAAGTTACACTAGAATTGATGTGATTCATTACATTGTGGGTGTATTGTATAATTTCATCACATCACAGAATGTTAAAGGGCCAATCAGCAGTTGAAACAATAACAAAGTGTTGTCCCCGCCACTGTTTCAGTAAAAAGCTGAGGGATGAGGCGGGAGAAATGTAATCACTCCCACATTCATAGACAGAGCTGTGGATGCAAGGACTAACCATCCATGATCTACAAATGATAGTTTTAACAAAATTTTAAAGGCTAAACAGTGTTTGTTTACATTTACTTTGTTTACAAACATTGGAGTAAATCAAGCTCATATTTTGGACTCTGATGGGGTACGACAGTTAAATTAAGCTCATGAGGCATTTAGAAGTTATTTTCTTTAAGAATCAATGGATGTAGAAACTGCTGATTGCCCCTTTAATATAACGAATCTTTAAAATATTACTTTCAAGGTAAGAAAACTAAAATATTTGTGTAGTTTATTACATTTTAATAACATGGCATCACCAATCCATAGTTTGCACATAGACTGTTAATCAAGGATTATTATCATTGTGTGAGTTTAGTGCCATCTAGTGGTCGTTACATAAAGCCTGGCATGTATACATATTTCAAACCAATTATAAACAGCACACAGAACAAAGTTCATACCACAGCAATAGTTCCAAGACAATGAGTATTTGTATTTATTAAGGATTCCCATTACTCATCCTGGAGTCCAAACAAATTAAGGTGAAAATAAAACAACATAACATTATTACACCATACAACATTTATAATACCACCATACATACGTGTGTAGAGTGTGTGTGCTGGCATGTGTGTGTGCGTATGCATATACCTGTGTGTGTGTGTGTCTCCTCACAGTCTGCATTATTCCATAAGGTGTAGTTTTATCCCTTTTTAAAATCAGAATTTACTGCTTGAGTTCTGTGTAGTACTCTGCGTTTTCCAGAGTCCGTTCTGGACATGGGGACTGTGAATTGACCCTGGTGGCATGTCTTGTGGGTTATGCATGAGTGTCTGAGCTGTGTGCTAGTTGTTTGAACAGACAGCTCAGTGCTTTTAGCATGTCAATACCTAGTAGTGGTGATGCAGTCAATCTCTCCTCTACGTTGAGCCAGGAGAGATTGACATGCATGTCATTGATGTTAGCGCTCCGTGTACATTTAAGGGCCAGCCATGCTGCTCTGTTCTGGGCCAACTGTAATCTATTTGCCTATGTCCTTCTTTGTGCCGCTTGACCATACGACTGGGCAGTAGTCCAGGTGACATAAAACTAGGGCTTGTAGGACTTGTTTTGTTGATAGCAATGTGAAGAAACCAGAGCAGCACTTTATTACAGACAGACCTCTCCCCATCTTAGCTACCGTTGCATCAATGTTTTGACCATGACAATTTACAATCCAGGGTTACTGCAAGCAGTTTAGTCACCTCAACTTGCTCAATTTCCACATTATTCATTACAAGATTTAGATGAGCTTTAGGGTTTCGTGAATGATTTGTCCCAAACAATGCTTTTAGTTTTTGAAATACTTAGGAGTAGCTTATTACTTGCTACCCATTCTAAAACTGACTGCAGCTCTTTAAGTGTTGCAGTGATTTCACTTGCTGTGGTAGTGGACGTGTATAATATTGAGCCAATCATCAGTCATTTGTGCAAGTGCCGTACATGTTGAGTGCCCTTCCCTGTAAGCGTGATGAAAGTCAGTTGATAATTTGTTTACTGTGAAATAGCATTGTATCTGATCAAACACCATTTTCCCCCAAAAGTTTACTAAGGGTTGGTAGCAGGCTGATTGGTCAGCTGTTTGAGTCAGTAAAGGGTGCTTTGCTATTCTTGGGTAGCGGAATGACTTTTTCTACCCTACAGGCCTGAGGTCACACACTTTCCTGTAGGCTTAGATTGAAGAGATGGCAAATAGGAGTGGCAATATAGTCTGCTATCATCCTCAGTAATTTCATTATCTCAACAAGCTTCACCTGGAATGCTTTTCCAACAGTCTTGAAGGAGTTTCCACATATGCTGAGCACTTGTTGGCTGCCTTTCCTTCACTCTACGGTCCAACTCATCCCAAACCATCTCAATTTGGTTGAGATCGGGGGATTGTGGAGGCCAGGTCATCTGATGCAGCACTCCATCACTCTCCTTCTTGCTAAAATAGCCCTTACACAGCCTGGAGGTGTGTTGGGTCATTGTCCTGTTGAAAAACAAATTATAGTCCCACTAAGCACAAACCAGATGGGATGGCATATCGCTGCAGAATGCTGTGGTAGCCATGCTGGTTAAGTGTGCCTTGAATTCTAAATAAATCCTCCATGCTTTACGGTGGTAAATACACATGCGGAGATCATCCGTTCACCCACACCGCGTCTCACAAAGACACAGCGGTTGGAACCAAAAATCTCAAATTTGGACTCCAGCCCAAAGGACAAATTTCCACCGGTCTAATGTCCATTGCTCGTGTTCCTTTTCACAAGCAAGTATCTTCTTATTATTGGCGTCCTTTAATAGTGGTTTCTTTGCAGCAATTTGACCATGAAGGCCTGATTCACACAGTCTCCTCTGAACAGTTGATGTTGAGATGTGTCTGTTACTTGAACTCTGTGAAGCATTTATTTGGGCTGCAATTACTGAGGCTGGTAACTCTAATGAACTTATCCTCTGCAGCAGAGGTAACTCTGGGTCTTCCATTCATTTACATTTTACATTTTAGTCATTTAGCAGACGCTCTTATCCAGAGCGACTTACAGTTAGTGAGTGCATACATTTTTTTAAATATCTTTTTTTTATACTGGAATCGAACCCACAACCCTGGCATTACAAATGCCATGCTCTACCAACTGAGCTACATCCCTGCCGGCCATTCCCTCCCCTACCCTGGACGACGCTGGGCCAATTGTG